AGCATAGAATAATAACTTTCAATGAGAAATAAAATGAAAATTGCATTACAGAGTAAAGATAATATTTATTCAATGATAAATTGCCAATTATATTAAACGCGAAATTTAGGCTTGGTGCTTTTTGGTAACTTCATTTATATATATTTGGACGCAAAAATGATAATCTACTCTCATTTCGTGATCCAGATTTAAAAGTCTGGATCTTCTTTTCGTTTTTATGTTGGTCAAAGCCGAAAATCCGAATTCGCACATATGAGATGTGAAACATTTATAATAACACACTTAAAGCTTTTTGTGATATTGTCTGATAATCGTATCTAAGATTTAATCCAGAACGAGTTAATTGATTCTTCGGAATGTTTTGAAATTACTGCCTGGCAGTGGCGGAACAGTGGTTTAAAATCACTGACATAGAGTAATATTTAGTTATCGGACTTGCGAAGTTTCAAAAAGATGGATCACGTTACTTCCAGTAAAATGTAAAAAGTTAATAGGGAAGAATGAAACGTAGATAACTTCGTAACGTGACGCAATAGTCATTTATTATTATAAAGCAAACGAGACTTTTGAGGCGAGGTAATAGATTTAGTATCTAGTCGTCGAAGCTGGTCAGTTCCCGAATATCGTTCGTCTCTTTGATCGTTCCGGCCGGGCTTCGGACAATGGGGGAACCGACCAAGCTTTTAAATCGTTTGAAATCTGGCGAACGGGATGATGCGGTTTACACGTTTTACGTCTGTTCACCCCGAAGCGGGGGTTCGTTTTCCTTTAGTAGCCGGTAGACGGTTCAATTTCCGTAATAGACCCAAACATCAGAATGAACTGACATTTTTAGGGGACGGGAAGAACGGGTAAAGAACTCTGAATGTAAAATTTTAGCCATGGGTCTTTATCAGCTATTGAAACGTTAATAAAAAACTACAAACTTGTATGCATTATTTTGCTGTGAATTTAGAATTCCGTACAAATGCAAACGAAAATCTGCGGTATACTATCTAGTTTCTAACGCGTAAACTCTTGTCAAATTTCTTCGTGGAAGCCGACGCTCTGCCGTGAAAAGCTTCCGGTTCAAACGTTGCACTGTCGATGCGCGTGCAACGCGCAAGTAATTTGCCACTTGGCGTGGCGCGTTCGTTAATCGATTCCGCGTTCCCTGCAATCAGCGCGTCCGATCAGCAGCCACGTTTTTCATAAAGCGGCTGCCGCAGTTACGTGCTCTTTATTCCTGGAAAACTCCTGGCTCACGCGTCGACTAAAACGGAGTACATAATTGACAGGGCGTAAATCCGAACGAAAAAGCTGTCGCTACGGTACGCGCCGCTCATAACGATTCGGTTCGCGAAATCTTTTTCAGATGAAAGAAATACGTGTTCAAAATGTACAAAGCGATAGACAATGGCAACAGTTTTTTCACCACGCATCAAACATCGAGAGCGTATTTTATATCTAGTAACAATGAATCCGGGCCAGCGCGGGCTTGTGTTAATTTCCCTCAGGGGGATAAAATTCAAAACGAGTAATAAATCTACGTCTTGTTTTTTCAATGCTCGATCTGGCATCGATACTGTTGGATTTTGTAAGCAAAGAGCATGATGGAAGATTCATGAGCATAGGAAACTGAAGACCAGAAAATGTTTGAAAGATAACTTTCGTAAGGCAATTGAACAGGAGATTGGTTTATAATTTTTACATAATTTCGTCGTCTCAGAATAAAAAGAATTTTAATGTAGATGGTGATAATGTGCGAAATCCAACGGTATCGATGCCAGATCGAGCATTGAAAAAACAAGACGTAGATTTATTACTCGTTTTGAATTTTGTCCCTCTAGGAGAAATTAACACAAGCCCGAGGTGGTTCAGATTCATTGTTATTAGTTGTACATAGGTCTGTGTTCTCACACTGTATCACATAATTTAATTCTAAATCTACAAGAATAAATGAATCTACCAGCGCGATTCTACGCATGTACATACATACATACATACATATTTATTTAGAGAATAAAATACAAGCGGACGGCCGAGACCGACGTTTATCTTTCCATAAAACGTGGTACGGGCGGGCGATACGTTTTAACAAGCGACTTGCGGTCGGAAGAGGAAACCGTTCGAACGTAAATTTCGTATAAAAGACCGATACCTTTCCACCTTTTTTTTTATACCTCCCGTAGTATTTATTGCCGCGAGAGAGGAAGACCGACTTGGAATGTGCGAATGCCAAGATTATATTCGTACTCCTAGCCGTAATTTTTATCGATTATGCCATTAAAGACCCGCTAACGAGGCGCCGTCGCTTTTCGCACACCGTTTAATCCGATTTCGTGTGCTGCATCTCTTTTTACTCGGCTACTTTGCCGTCGATGCTTTTTATTCTCGTGCCGATTCCGCGTACAACGGAAAATGCGAAGCGAAACGCCCCTCGTCGACGATCAAAGGCGAGAAAGGTGCCGTTGCGATCGTACGCTAATTCGCTCTGTCGATATTTTAAATATCGCCAAATGCCCGGTTGATTCCTTACGACGTGACGCAAACGTCCGTGCGATCGCGTGTTCCGGCCGCGACATTTCTCCCCGCGCGTATCTCGCGTCGGTCTGTTCGATAAATACGTAATTAGACTTCTGCTGCTGTAATATTATAAAACCACTTTTCGCGCTGAATTTATCTCGATGCGATGAATAATTCAAACGGTTTTTTCCGCTCGGTGCCCGATGAAACGGCTTCTTAATTAACAACGATGAAACAAAACTCGGTACGTATTTAACTTCGAAATTGTACGGTAATATCGCCCACGGACGGACATCTTTTGGCTCGTCGAGGAGGGCGCAATTTCGCAGAGCGAACATTCCTGTTCCGCTTAAAAATAATGCGACAAGCGCTCGGGGAAGTCAGGGTGGTTAGCGTATACGCGAGGCGGTCGCTTGGAAGAATTTATGAAACGGCAGAAACCTGTGTGTTTCAGTCCTCTAAAAGGTACCCCGGTACTACGCACGACCATCGTTGAGCAAATGTTCTTCTCTTTTTTGGTTTATCACTTTACAGAGCACTTAGCTTTAATATTGATTTTCAACTTCAAACAGTCCGTTCGGACGCATGCGAGTTTCGACCGATTTGGTAGTTTTACGAATCAATAATGACGGAAAGGAATACATGTTTTCGAATTCGTACGTACGTTGATGAATTTGCAATCATGAAGTATGATTAAAATATTGAAATATTTGAACGCTGCTTTCAGTTTTGCTGGAATAAAAGTCTAATTAATAAACGGATGCAAATGGAAGCAAATGTTGGCATTTATTTATTAATCAGACTTTTATTCTGGTAATATTGTATCATATATTTCACTTAATTCATCTGAACATTTATTAATCCATACATTAAATTATTGAAAGGTTTACGTACAATTTAAGATGCAGAGATTCTCATTCTACATCGCAGTTCTTCGCTTGGTACTGTTTCCAAGGTTCCATTTCAGCTTGGAAACGTTACTTTTCTTTTATTTAACTAATTATTTTTTGCTTTTTAATATTGCATTTTTATTCAGTTCTAAGCTATGTTCAAAATTTCGAGTCTCTAGCTTATCGGGAAGCTAGTTTAAAATCAATTGCAAAATTTGTACCGAACAGATGGACAAGAAAGCGAGCTAATAAAAACGTAGTAAAATATGTGATCACTGCTTTCGCTTATTGACATGAAAAAACTGCATTGTCTGAACTGTCTATATAAATCGTTGCAAAATCGATCGATTAGTAACAATCAGTCTATTAACTCTATTTGCTTATTTCGAAGCGAACCACCGAAGCGTATTATTAACAGACGGATCCATTCTTTTTTCAGAAACACGGACCCCGGATGAAGTGCGCGGCCTGTCGAGTGGTGGCCCACTCGGTCTGCGCGACCAACCTGAATTTCGCTTGCAAGTCGAGCTTCCGCGACGTCGGGGTCCGACAATATCGGGAACAGACGAGCACCCACCACCACTGGGTGCATCGTCGCTCCCAAAAAGGAAAGTGCGCCAACTGCGGGAAGTCGTTCCAATCGAAGCTGAGCTTCTCCTCGAAGGAGATAGTCGCGGTGAGCTGCAGCTGGTGCAAGCTGGCGTATCACAACAAGGAGGCCTGCTTCAACGTCCAGAAGATCGGCGAGAATTGCGAGCTGGGCACGCATTCCTCGATTATCGTTCCGCCCTCATGGATCGTCAAACTACCGAGGAAAGGTACGTCGTCGATGACACGCTTCAATAGGAAGAAACTCTTTTCATTCTTTGCAATATCCACTATATACGTGATTCTTATAGAGTTTCTCACACTAAAAAGAAATCCGTAAGCGGAATTGCTCTATCGCGTTCCTTAACATATTTCATTTTCCCCAAAATCGTGTTTCTCTACAATAGCCACTGTTTTTCAGAAGTAATACGTGATACAGCAATTCTATCTTCGGATTCGTTTTTGGCATGAGAAATCCTATACGAATCATGTAGTGGGTATCGAAAACAAAAAAAATTGTGTTCCACATATAGCGTAACCTACGGTCTATTGCTGTTTTATTTTCAACCAACGGATTTGAAATTTTCTGTTTTTCTAATAGGTAGTTTCAAGAGCAGCCTGAGGAAATCACCGAGGAAGAAAAAGTCCGGCAGCGGCGCGGGCACCGCCTCGAACAGGAAAAAGTCCAAAGAGAAGGAGAAGGAGAAGGAACAGGACAAAGACCAGGGGAGGTTGTGGGTAGTGAAGCCCATACCCACGGCATCCGTGAAACCGGTGCTAGTTTTCATCAACCCGAAATCGGGCGGCAATCAGGGAGCGAAGCTGCTACAGAAGTTCCAGTGGCTGTTGAATCCGAGACAGGTCTTCGATCTGACGCAAGGCGGCCCAAAAATGGGGTAAGGCATTATTTTTATACGATGGTCTCTGACCTTTCGCGTTTGTCTTTCGTAATCCCGATTCTCGGAGAATAGACGTCTAAGACACCCGATGAAAGTGATTTGCGCGAATCGAACAGACAGAATTTTTACTTATTTATTTATTTAACACGTTTCGTGCCGAGCCGTTTTCGTCCGATTCCTCGTTCAGGCCATTTTGACGTTTTATTTTGATATATGTCGTAATAAAATATTTCATTACTCTTCATCAATCCGTAAGTGATCAGCTTGTATAGAGTTAGTATAGAATATCACATCGTATACCATCCGTGGTGCACGTGGCCTTACAGTTTTGAACTTGTTATGAAATACGTGTTCTTAGCGCATTAAATAAATATGTCACGGTGTATCACCGGTGGTAGACGCGACCTGAATGGAAAGTTTAATAGCGTACCATCGGTGGCACACGTGGCACGAAACGTGCTAATTATATAGGAAAACAGACCTTTTTATAACGCCGTTTAAAATATGACACGATCTCTCATATTTATGATTACAATGATAACTAAAAGAAGTAGAAAGAATTTGACGAGCAATTGGGGTAATCGAATGGAAGTCAAATGAGAGATGAATGGGTTCGCTGGATTAAACGGTAGGCAGGAGGATATCGGAAAGTATGATAAACGAAGAAGAGGGGAGGTTTAATTAAAGTTCTACGGCCTGGCTGGTAGCCAGGAAGTGACCTGGTAAAAGGTGAGCCGCGAGGAATAAAGGATGTCGCTGTACGGGTATTATCGAAACTTCCTACGGGAAGTTTATTCGGAAGTTGGAGCGTTCCGTTCGACCGAATTCTCGACGATAGAAACTATAAACAATGCGACTGCGAGTGTTACCGTAACTACGTACAGTAGACGGTTAATAAAAGTTTCTTTGAGGACCTGTTCACCGATGAAACTCTCTCTCTCTGTCTCTCTGTATTTTTGCAACGAACCGGTCTGTCGGTTGTTCTGCTGTAGGTAATTAGGACGTTCGTCGAGACGAGAGTAAACCATTGAAAAAGTGTTCGCCGATTGTTTGGAATTACCGTTGTCTATTGGAATTCCTTTATAGATGCGCTACGAATATAAAGAGGAGAGCTTCGATCCGCTCGGATCGTTTTTATATACGTGTATAACGATACACATGTCGAGAAAACGCGCGACGAATGCAGATAACGAGGGACGTTTTCAATAAAAACGAATCGAAGGAGAATTATTTTCTAATTTTCAGATTAGAATTATTTAAGAACGTTCCTAATCTTCGGGTTCTGGCGTGCGGCGGCGACGGTACGGTCGGCTGGGTGTTGTCGATTCTGGACCAGATCGGCGCGTCTCCTCCGCCGGCGGTAGGCGTGCTTCCCCTGGGAACCGGGAACGACTTGGCCCGAGCTCTGGGATGGGGCGGCGGTTACACGGACGAGCCGATCGGCAAGATCTTGACCAACATCGGGGAGAGCGAGGCGATACTGCTGGACAGGTGGCAGCTGATCGTCGAGAGGAACCCGGACGCGCAGGGCGACGAGGATAACGGCAAGGGCAAGGAGAATCTACCTTTGAACGTCGTCAATAATTACTTCTCCCTCGGCGTCGACGCCCACATCGCCCTAGAATTCCACGAGGCCCGAGGTCAGTCTAACTCTCCGTTACGTATCTCAAATGACTGACATAAAATTTTTTATATAACGATTAGACTGCGGATTTTTATGTCAAATAAAACTTGCGGTATATCGATTTTTAGTAAGAATTTCCTTCGATCCTGTTACGCGTTCTCGTGTTCATGCTTTACACACTTTTGCCCACTGTATGTATTGTTTGTCTTTTAATTTTGCTACAAGTGTATAAAATCCGCAGTCTAATAATGACCGTCACCAATCGATCTTATCGGCGTCCTGCGGCAATTTGGGTCCCGAATCGTTATCCATTACTTGGACCTCATTTGGGATGTGTCTCCTCGCTGCGCGCAACAGTCCGTTTCAATTATTTAGGAAGCTCGCATCGTTGAACGCGGAAATATCCTCGTTTCCCGTAACCTGTTGCGGGGCAAATATTTTTCTACGAAACGGGATAGCTATTATTTGGAAAGTCGCGATTAAACCGTTCAGTCCGTGCTCGTATACACGAGTAAACACCGCGTGTATACGTTCCAGAGCAGAGATAAGCGATGACGAACGTTTCGGGGGTCGAATCGTTGGTACAATTATCGCAGTGAAACGAAATGAATGATGCTGAAGAACGATTAAAATGCGAGCAATTGCACGGAAATTGCAGTGACCAATGGTCGACATGGATTCCGGGATGAAAATCTGCGAAGCGAGAATAATTGAGAGAATTGAATTGCAGAGGCGCATCCAGAGAGATTCAACTCGCGGCTGCGGAACAAAATGTTTTACGGTCAGATGGGTGGGAAGGATCTAGTGCGACGAAAATGGAAAGACCTCTCGGAATTCGTGACGCTGGAATGCGACGGGAACGATTTGACGCCGAAGCTGAAGGAGCATCGCGTTCACGCGATCGTCTTCTTGAACATCGCCTCGTACGGCGGCGGAACGCATCCGTGGGGTGCGGCCAGCGGCACTAAGGAGCCGACCACGGAGGACGGCTTGATCGAAGTCGTCGGTTTGACGACCTATCAGCTCCCGCTTCTTCAGGCTGGTGGACACGGCACCTGCATCTCCCAGTGCAGTTCGGCCAAGCTGGTGACCACGAGGACCATCCCGATGCAGGTAATCTCTCATTCATTTTTTTTGACGTGAGAACGTCTTCGAGCCTTTCAGCGCTGAATAACAACTCTGATGAAGCATCTCAAACACGCACGGTTTTAAAACGCATTATTAGTCTGCTTTCCGTGCGTATTTTTTCTTTCGCATTTCTATCCGTCGTACATTAAACCGAGAGACGATTTCTCTTCGGTAATCTACAGTAGTACCTTTAGTACTTACTACCCAATCAATTTTTTTCGAAATCTTCTATTGCCATAGCGTTTCTAGCTCTCGCTTCCCTTTCTCACCCTCGCCTTTTAGTTTTATAAAATACTTTTTGCACAAAATGGACGAAGACGCGTCCTCTGTCTTCCGTTGCATCGCCTCGTAACGCGTAAAATTTGTCACTCCAAAAAGAGACGTTATTCGTTTCGCCAGGTCGATGGCGAGGCTTGCCGGTTGCTACCGTCGATCATAAACATGAAACTGTTGAACAAGGCGACGATGTTGGCGAAGCGTAGGAGCACGAGCAAACCGCAGCAGGATGTAAAGCTGGAAAGATTAAAGCTGCCGGTGATGAGGATCAAGATGTCGGATTACGAGAGGTATCACCACGACAAGGACATGCTGAAGAAGTCGGCGACCACGTGGATCGCCGACCCGCTCGACCTCGACGCCACCACCGATCTAGAATCCCTCAGAAAATACCTCGCGAAAGATTACAACATGGACGCTTGTTGCTTCCTCGACTGTGAGTGCTCCCATGTATTGCATTTATAAAAGAATATGTAAAAAAATTCAGTCTGTCCAGAGACCCAGAGAATATCAAAAGTGAAATGAACATTATCGTTCTTAAAATACAAAAGAAACTCCTACATTGGTATCACAAATAGTTCATTTTTTCTAAAGTGATTACGAAATCAATTAATTTCACTTCGAAAAAATATTGCGGCGTCGCATAAATAATTTTTTTTTTCGTAATCACGGTTATGTTTAAAGAACATGCGTAGCTACCAAAACGTGTTTATAAAATTATACATGACTGTGAAAATACTGAATTGAGATTAAGACGATCGGTGAGGGGCGGAAGCTGACGATTTAACTTACGACCCAAATTACTCGGTATTATCGTCGGAATTGATTCGCAGCCTGTACCGCGGAGCGATTCTTCAGGATCGACAGAGCTCAAGAGCAACTTCATTACGTGACGGACGTAGCCGTCGAGGCGGTCTACGTCCTCGAGGAGAGCGCTACTAGTCAATCGGTCGAGCCCGAGGAAACGAAGGTAGTCACAAGTCAAGAACCGGAAACGGCCCATCCATCTCCGAGGTACTTGGTTTCGTTCGCTTGATCAGGAATTATGTAGTACGTCGTTCGTTTACCGTAGACTCGCTGTGATTGTACTACCATCTGCTTATTCTTGTTAACGCGTAACTTTTCGTAACGATAAGTTAAGATTCAGCAAATTAGTATTGGAATTCGACGTTGTTCTTTCGTCTTTACTACGCATTCTTGTTCGTCGTTCTTCTCGTTCTCGCTTTGGTTTTTTTTTCCTCGATACAGTACGCATACGTATTGTTTGTTGATAGTCGTTTAAACGGTCGAGTAGTTCTTGTAACAGACGAGGCTGCAAGGTTATTATATCTGGTAGCCTCTGAAGCCTTTTAACATCACCTCGCCCGTGTGTCCATGATAATTGTAATGGTAATGGAATCGTATCATTAGATTAATAGAAAGAACGTGTGATATAGCGAAGAGCGACCGAAGCCAATCGCAACCATGACAGAAGAGACGCCTAAGGAAAATTCAAAGGCGCATCAGCATGTTTCGGAGTCGCCTGAAACGAAAGTTGCGCAGAACGGAAAATCTCTCGGATCGGTGAGCAAGGCACCGTCTAACGAGCCCCCGATCCCTAAAAGAGTAGAGAACCCGACATCATACGAAGAACCGATCAAGCAAAACAGTTCCTCGAAATCGATCTCCTCGTCGGCTGTCGCACACTCGCAACATCAACTTCCACTCACCTTCATTAGGTGAGTCGTCCTTGTCATTTTAATTATTTAATTTTACGGGTAAATAGACCTTCGTACAATAGCAGTATAAAGCATCGATCCATTTACGAAAGTTGTGACTTACGTTTTATCCAAGCCATTAGAAAGGATTAAAAGATAGAGATGATCTTGTTTCAGTCCGCGGGATAGACTTTTCGGCCTGAGTTCGGAGGTGCACACCTTCAACACAGGACTGCTGGACAAGCCCAACGACGGTATATTGAAATCGGCCAAGATCGGCGATCTCCAGGCGTTGAAGGAGCTCCACGAGAAAGGATACTCCCTTCTGTCCATCGACTCCACCGGTCAGACCGCTCTCCATCTAGCCGCGAGATTCGGTCGCAAGGACATCGTCCGATATCTGATCGCTTGCGCACCATCGAGTCTTCTCGACATGATCGACAACGACAAGTAAGCTTCGTTGAATTCCAGAACTCGAGCCGTTCGCCTCGCGGGGCGAATGCTTTTGCCGGGATTAAATTGTAATTTTATATTCTCGAGAAATGATCGTTGGTAGCTTCGAAAAAGACGGTGGGTCAGAAGCGATTCCTAGCGGTGAAACGCGTATTTTATGAGAGGTGAAACGCGGCGAATCGATTTATGGCAGAATGATTTTCATTCCGATCGAGTGGCTCGACGCGGAAAAAGAAAAAAGAACCGGAGCGTATCGCGAATAGCAAAAAGGTTTTCGAGGCACAAGATTTAATTCGATCTTCGTGCAGAGCTTCCGAGCCGGCGCAGATCGGAAAACTTTTTTGTCCGCGAAGTTTGTTTACGACGAGGTTCAACGGCGATCAAAGTACACGGGTGGCCGGGCAGGAGGGAATTTATTCCTGGAGCGAATAGAAGAGCAAATAAAAAGGAAAGGCTTGTACCTTCTAATTGCAGAGGTCAGACCGCTTTGCACAAAGCGGCTCAATACAAGCACCGTTCCATTTGCTGCATGTTAGTGGCTGGCGGTGCTACTTTGATCATCAAGGATCGACACGGCAACACGCCTCGCGATCTCGCCCTGCAAGCGGAGGACCGTGATCTCGCGGCGTATTTATACAGTGAGCTCTTTCACATTTTTCTCCACTCCATTTTCTCCATATTCAATATAGTGTCTCACATTTTTTGACGATTCAAATAATCCGATTGAACTGTTCGCATCGTACGGTCGTAAACGTTATAATAAAAATTCGTACTGTATTTAATAGAACGTTCGATGAATCGTTGTAGTAATTTTTAAATCGTCGACTCGACGATTCTTTTTCGCATCCTGTCGCATTTCGTACATAAAAAAAACGATAGACATCGAGAAGTAGACGAAGGATCGGAAAGAAGTGTACTGGCAACTGTTTTCTAGTAGAAAGACATGTTTCGGTGGACAATTCGATTCCGATCCATTGTCGGAGCTCTCGTCGAGTCGAAACGGGTTTCGATGGATCGTTAAATGATATCCACGCGCTCTTCATTGATAAATAGGTCAAGAGCAGTTCCAGCTGGCAACAGAAGAAATGGAGAACGCCATTTGACCTCAGGCCGTAATTGGTAGGGCTTGAACCGGCGAGTCCGAGTAGATCCTCTCTCTCTCCGACGGACCAGCCAACGAGAAGATCGCCGATACGTTTCGCTCTCTATGCGTAAGTCGCACGTGATAAATCGATATTTATTTGATCGACGGCCAACGTCGAGCACGTATATTTATTATATTATTACTATTAGTCGTTAAGCTGCTCTCCAGTCTCTCTCGTCGAACCCTCGAGGTCGCTTTTTACGAAAGTGTACATTAAATTATTACATTACTTACAGACACTATATACATATATACATACGAATAGTAGATGTATTTGCACGCGTGTCGGTCGCAGGGAGCGAGTCAAACACGTCTCGGTCGACCACGAATATCGGTACACACGTCACATTATATATAGTATATTTTGAATCGATCGTTACGTGAGACTCCTACCGTAAAATCGCGCGTCTCCTTCCTCGGTCGACGAATTTAAACGTTGCGTAAAAGCGAACGAGTCGACGCGACGCGCGCGAACGACTTTTTGCTCATTCGTATCCGCGGGACTTCGAGGACGTGGAACGTCACGAAACGGGCCCGAGAAGAAGGAACCAAATTATCGAGAGGGGTTTAGTGGTTATTAGAATGAAACGATTTGATCATGCGATTAAATTAAACGGTAGCTTAATCGGAACCTAAACTTTCTAGGACTTCTCGTTTTTATTTTATATTTTTCTACGTTCCACTTGTAGGTATTCCCAGAATATGTAATAAACTATCCTTAGCGTTATAACAATCTCGTCGCTGCTCTGCTCTACGTAGTTTTACCCTCCGTCTCTGCGTCGTTTTTTTTCGAGACCGGAGAACGCGAAGCTTTAGCGAATACTTAGCGTCCGTAGAGTTGGACACAATCTTTTTAATCGTTTAACGAAAAATCGTTACGCTAAGTTAAGATCGTCGGTCCGTAAATTCGAATCTCTTCTATAGTTCGGTACGCTGCATGTGGTAATCGTATCGGGACGAAATGCGCGATGCGACAGAAATATATTTTTCGACGGTCGCGTTTAGTCGATGGAAATGTGGACGTGGTACGATGCGACCCAAATTTCAGAACGAACTGGAACTTTTAATGGATGGAGAGGGGATGAAAAAACCTTGTTGCATTCCGCTGATTTAATCTTTATTAAGAATAATACGACTTATGCGGTGACACGAAGAACACGGTTTTATCCCGAGTGAGTTGTCGTGTAAGAGCTCGGGAACAAAATGCAGTGAATTAAGGGAAAGCGAGCTGAAATATACGTTCCAGGTTTAAGTGGTGAGGATTAGAATTTGTAAGGATAGGAATATCAGGGTCAGAGTTTGAGGACGATGCGGCGAGGGAGGTTTAAAAGTGACGCAGCTAAGACAGAGTTCGAAGATAGCGCGAAGTTTACAAGTAGTCAAAGAGTGAAATCATAGGATTAGGAAGTTTCGGTATAGAAAATAGAAGATAGGGAATCGTTGGTGTACAACATGCTGAACCTTGAAATCTTCTCCTATATGTATGTGTTGGCTTCGGACTGTCTTAGCTCTCACCTGCAGACCGTACTTTTACTTCATTTTTATTATAATCGTAATCAGCCCTCGACGGAGTTCTTAGCGATCCAATCGCAAGGTTTCGTTTCGGAAATGATGGAACGACACACACAATTTAAAAAACAAATGAATCAATCAAAACACAATGAGCTCCATAGAGGGTTTTTTTTACTAATATCTCAAAAACTAATAAAGACCTTGGCTAAAATTTTACATTCAGGGTTTTTATTCGTTCTTCCTCGCTTCCTCGCTAAAAATTTCAGTTCGTTCTGAAATTTGGGTCGTATCGTATTACAGCCAAAAATGCAATGATTAATATTCGAAGTCATTCGACGAGACTTTCATCACCTCTTCTGGCTCGGTTTTATTTTTACTCGTACAATTTCAATATTTGTTTTCTCTTCAGACATACATATGTATACGTGAAATATGATCAAAAATAAATGAAAACCGTTCGGAGGTTTCGTGCATCGCGACCCGATACGATCGATATTTATTATTATGGTCGTCGTTCGTGTAACTTTGACGTTCGAACGATTATTCGGATGGCTGTGTAGTCGAGCGGATGAACCGAACTCGAAGAAGCGCTTTATTATTCGCGATCGACGTCGTCGGCGCGTCAAATATTATTAGGTGCATACGAAACGTTGTTTCCTTCAAACACGTAGTCGACCGTCATACATATTTCATCGGAAATAATTTGCCGGTTCTAAATCATTGTTGTACATTATAAAATCGAATTAAATATATTATAATAGTAGATGGTAGGTGAAGAAAAAAAAAAGCATGAAACGTTTCATATGCCCCGGTCTAATATTTTATTGATTCAATATTTGTTGAATCTCATCGAACGGGGTTCTATCCGACTCTGCTGGTATCCAATTCGTGTTTCTTTCCTTCGCTTGTCCTTAGGATACCACGACACATATCGTTCCCTAAGAAGGAATCTCGCGTTAATATACCCACGTATAATTAACAATTGTATATACAGATGACCTATATTTTCTGTGTTTAACGCACGATGACGTTTATCATCCTCGGACGCAAACGCGCGGTTCGAAGAAAATCGCGGCTATTGCCTCGAAACGTTTCATCGTGAACCTGTTCTTTTCCTACGTCCAACATTCGTCGAACGTCCTCGCTTGGACATAGACACTGGACACCGATAAAACCGCGAATAAAAGAGGAAAAAATTAGCGAACCGTTGAAACCGACTTGGCGCGCGAACTTTTGGAAAATACATTCGGTCGAACGAGTCCGATTCTCGGGATCGACCCAATTGAGCTGTATAGATATTCGTGCGATTGAAATTCGGAACACATTTCAGAGAATTGTGCCAATAGTATCTACTTTAATATCGCTGATTCTCGAGATTTATATGAGAACTAACGGAGTAAAGATCGATTCTGAGATTTAACCCTTTGCACTCCTGCTTTCCTTCTTTATCCTCCTATTAGACTCGACATCAGTTTTTATCTCAGGAGCTCCTTTGTCGAATCCCACACGACATTCTCTCGTGTCCAAATCAATAGATGAAACGTGCGAAAGAAAACCAGGATTGCATCCTGGAAATTGTTTCAAGAGATATCATACACTTGAAAATTACAAAATACAACAATAGTGTGAATAAAACTGGTATTTAAGTGAATTTGTTTCTTCCTTTATTTATTTAAATTGCCTCATTTATTAATCAAAGTAAATTTCAAATAAAACAGCGTAAATAAAAGCGTTGGGAGCTGCTGGGAACGAAATTGAAACAAAATTCGGAGTGCAAAGGGTTAACGTATATCACCGGACACTTCATCCAGTCGACGAGTAACACCCCTTTCGTGCGGCAGAGTTCGACTCTTGGGCAAAATAATAACGTGTGTCACAAATTGGTTTTAACAGATTTATTCTACTTGCACGTATACAGAAATAGATTTGTCATACGCGTTATCATTCTGCCGGGGATTGGTCGACGAGTCGGGTGTATGCGACGTTACTTGATCTTGAGCAACACTGACCGAGCGAAACGTGGCGAAGCGGAAGTCGGATGAAACAAGGTATTCGATAAACACGATCGGGGGGAATGAATCATTTAAACTCGGTACCAAAATGAAAATGGGGATCAACGTACGAACACCAATTAGTTCTTAAAAAGGCGGTCTATCGTCGTTCCTTATTATACTATACATACCTACTAGACTATTGTAATTCTACCCTCGAACTATGATCCGGCGTTTGAAGTACACAGTAGGTACGTGTTTGAGAGCGTCGTTCGTACTCTACGAACGCAGCAGTATGGCGAGTAGGTATCCCGACTAGCGAGTCGGACGCGCGTGAACACACGTTCAGCGAATCTTTAATATCGAACGCTCGGCTCGATTTCCGATGTACATACACAAACGTCTCGGTGATTAACCGTCTAGAAGTATATTGTGCAGAAAGCGAGCTTTCGCTTCGTCTGAATCGGTCTCTGTGCAATACGCTGGTTTTAGATTCCTTGTTTTTCGATCTGGCTCGTCGACCTAAATTCGTCAAGGATCGTTTCACCGATAAAACGAGAAGCACTCGATTTTAAACGTCGAAGACGACGCGAGCTTCTACGATCTGCGAAAGTTTTGTCGTTGAAACGATCTGGATTAGAAGAATTTCTGAAAGATTCGTCGGTGACGAGCCAGTGTCGTACGATTTCTCACGTTCAATCGTCTCTGTCTGTGAGAATCCGTTCAAAATTGTACGAACGCTCGGAAAGCTTTACTTAAAACTAGTTCCCATTTTGGAAACCGTGTTAATGCGTGCCCTCGCGTCTCTCTGATCCCCATGCAAATCGATGTCCTTAAGGACCGCGTCGACGGCTGAATGACGGAGTGAAGTATCGCGAGGCGAACGCTTCGCGATTAATCGTAAGTATTAGCGGTACAGCGGATAGAGCGCAATGGTATTGTGTCCATATCCAGTGAGTAACGATGGTCGACTCTAGAAATGCCTTCGAGCGTAAGACGCGTCGTTCCGATTATTTTTCATATGTAGCGTAATCGTAATCACGATGCCTTTGTGACTCTATCTCAGTGAGAATTCGCGCGACGTTCTTCGAACGATCGACCGATCGAGTCTTCTTTCAGTGTAATTTAACTTTTACCCACTGACGATTAGGTATTTAAAGGAGAAACAAACGAGATCGCGGGAACAACGTCGCATCGCGATTGAAAGAAACGTATCGAACGCTAAGGATCGAGTCGCCGTTCGTTTAAGGGAACTTATCAGTGTGACCGCCTAAAATTTAGGTCATTTTTGGGATTTTTTTTTAAGAAAAGTATTCCGTAGAATTTTTTTAAACTTTATGGACGTATTTACCTATAAATGAACCGTGTAAAATAATCTTTTTCCTACAAAAATAACTACAGGCGACCAAGTTATGCGCTGTCTCCAAAGACGCCAAAAAATGTGCCTCAAATGCTGACATCATACAGTTCGCTAGGGTGCCTGAAATAAAAACAAAACAAAGACGCTAGTAAACTAGACATGCTTTATTGTTGAATGACAAAATGGCGGAATATTTAAGAAATTTTTCGATTTTTCCTTGTAAGGCCTCTTAAACCACGTTTACTCGATTCTCTTCGATTCGAATTAGTTTCCTCAGGACGTCTGAGTCGATCCAAGACCATTAGAAGGTTCCCTTCGAAGTAAAATATTTCCCTGCACTCTTTTTCGATCGTGCATTTCTCGCTTCCTTTCTTTCTTATCAGACGTCGTTCACCTTGGTCCAAAGAATCGTGGAAGTCGAGTCCTTTCAGCTTTGTCGAAAGGTAGACCACCGCGTACATAGGCACTCGGCCTTTGTTATCGTCTATCGTGATTGTAGCCAACCGTGCAAAGTAAGTACACGGTTCGTTTCAGAAAGGAACCGTTTCTTTTAGGAGACGGTCCACGAGAAGGGCCCTATCGCGATCCTTCTGTATTATTCCGTATTCTATCGTCTCCCGTCTCGCCGAATTCCTTCGAGATAAAGCGAAACGTTTTAACCACTTTCAACATTGAAAAATGCGATGTCGATCAAACAGACTCGTTTCTTCAGATTCGTTTCTCGACTTACGAACGTGCAACGACACAACGTTTGCGCGTTCATAAAACAATGAGACGGTATGGTACAAGTGGGTAGAAGCCTCGATACGTATTATCGTATAATATACGATTCATGTAAATCGTAGTCTTCTCGATTACACGGAGGCACGCATCGGCCACGAAATATCTATTAAAAAAATTTTGCACTTTTCGAACCGTGAACCGCGGACGTACGCATATAAATGTTTTAAAGAGTATTTTATTATTAGACCGTAAGGGAGAGGCCCGTACAGAAATTATCCAGGAACAAAATTAACGTTTCCGATTAGTTTCCGATAATAGACGATATATCTGGGTCAGGACGCGTGAACGTGAATGCTCTACGATGATACGCGATCGATGTTGAACGGAGCCGAAGGGGTTAACGAGGGACGGACGAATAATAGAGTTAGAAGCGTTCAAGTTCGATTTCATTGATACAGCCGCGAACGTCGCGCATTTATTTCGCGGAACGGAACGCGTTTACGTACACTTGAAAACGTGCGCGTCGCAGCTGAAACTTCTGGGGGAGCCTCCCGGGTTTCGAAGAGTTAAGCAAGTTTAATTATAGAGTATTATCCTTACAGTATTATTCTTAACTATACCGGAAAACGAAGGAACAAGATACAAGTACGTATTTAAAAAATTACAAGTTTACTCCTCGCACCAATCCAGTCTCACGAATTAAAAATGCGTGTAACGTTCTTTCTCGAACGGAAGATATTTTTTCGTCGGATCGCCTACCTACCTGAGTGCATATCCCCGTAACGTAGACGAATCTCCTGTACCTGTGTCGAAGAGTAATCGCACCCCGACGTATTATAATTATAGGCAAGTCTGAAAACGTTTCGACTCTTCCGTGTCTGTCAGGTCGGTGCATACGAGGTTCTCTACGTTATACTATGTCTAGAGGTATTAATGTATGACACAGTCCGTAGAGTTGCACTTTCTAACTGTGCTTCGTCTTGTATAAGTCGAAAAGATGGAACAGTTTCAAGTGTGTCAAGAAAATCCAGCTTGTGGATTTTCATGCAAAATGAAACGTTTATGGTATCGTTTTGAAAAAATGTTTCTTTTATCAATCAGTTTCTTTATTTCAGTCCTCTGGCCCAGAAATGGACTTGGTTTACGATTGATCAACTCAGGGTAACGAACGATAAACTCGATCTTGACGTGGCTGCCTATTTGAATTTTCTAATCGTTCGGAGCGATAGTCGCAAACGACATAATTGTCTGTTGCACCGATCTAAGACGTTTGTTCTTTTACACTCATATCGAAATCGAGCTCACCGTTTGTTATCCCAAGCTCTTCAATTATTACCTAGCCTTGCATTCTTCCACACCATTATTTATACCTCTGTGCCGTCGCCCTCCGCTCGACCTTTTCTTCATTCTTTAGACTTTGCATTTGACATAGAAAAAATTTACCATTTAAACGTATGACATACGGGAATACTCTTGGGTATCGTATGGATAGATCTCTATTATATTCGAGCAAAATGATATTTCATATGCACCGACCTGACAGATTAATTGATTCGGACACGCGCGTGTACGAGTATTCGAACGGGGAAAGGACGAGTCTCTTGAAATACTGCACAACTTCTCATTTCCGGGCCGGTGGCCTTCGGAGGCTAATGGAACGGGACGCGGCCGATCCTAGATTTCAGATTCCCTTTGAACTCTCCGAGGTCGATCTCAGCCCCCGATCTTCCTCGAGATTCAATAACGAAGGCAACTCCCGTTCCCTCCGTTCGCCTCCACCTGTGTCTTCTCTTCGTTTCTCGAAACCGATTCGAATCAACGAAAGAATATCCTCTTGCCGCGGATTTGTCGTGCCACGTTTCTCGGCAACTCGAGGAGAGTCGAAACGAAAACACGCGTTCTACGTCTACTTTATACTGTAAAGGTTCGGATAAATTGGTATCGCATTTCCAGTTTGTATCGATTGTTTTCTTCTTCGAGATCTACGACATTTGGCAAGGAACGTCGTGCGCATCGCGGCCATTAGACTTCCTCGTCGTCGAGTATGATAATGTATATTCCTACCGTGTAAATAAGAGGATTAAAAAACTAAAGTATCTATCAAAATGTATATATCCAATCTTGTCGGATACACATATTATTATACGCGCTGTTCGTCGAATTTATCGAGTACTTAATGAAGGGGAACATGTAACTGAAATGCCTTCGCGACTGTGTATCGAATCAGGAGACGAGGACCGGGAGATGTAACGAGGAAGAAAGAGGTGAGAAACGAGAGATAGTGAGCGAGTGACCTATGCTCGGTTCATATCAATTTTCCCGTTTGTTTCGTTAAAAACAATTAACGAACTCCTTCTATATCGAGACGATAAGAGAACAGAACGAAGGGTAAGAAGAAGAAGAAGAAGAAGGGAAAGAAACGTAGAAAAGAAGAATGACGGAACGCGTGAAGAGAGAACGAATGTGTACGAGCGAAAGTGAGCGTGCGAAGTGTAAAGAGAGAGAAAGAGGTAGTATGGCGCGGAGTTTGCCAGTGCGAAAAAGAAACACAGTATTGCCTTTGACAGGGACGCGGCCTTGGCCCGCGAGTCTCATCTTAAGTTTTTAGAGCAATAAATTCGGCGACAATCACGGCGTTATCGGGCCGGGTCCGCGTCACTGGAACCACTTTTCTCCGGCTGTCCGTCCGCGCGCGTTTCAGTTCCCGAACTCTTTCCGGTCCGAAGCTCGGTCATCCCCCTCTATCGTTTCCTGGTATCGCTGTTGCACATCAAAATTTACTCGTCCGGATCCAAGAGCTTCTTCACGTTATTCGGATTTCGTCGTTCGGTCATAAACACGTGGTTGGTTCGCTTCCTGTTACAATGCTCATTTTCTTCGACACTTCCTTTTGTTGATTTTTTATACCACGTGACCAATCCCGTGTCGTAGGAAACGAGCATTATCCCGATTAGGGACCTTCCAGGAAGAGATCGGATTATTAGACTCCTTTTGATTGGCCGCGAAAAAGTGCATCTAAACCGGAAATAGGGATAGAACGAAAGTAAATATACTGCTGTTTTACGTCAGGATTCGATCATTGTACAAAACGGAATAAATATTTATAAAAAATAATGTAGCATTGTTTCATTATTATCGACATTCTTATTTTTTTATTATTGTTAATCTTTGTTTCACTGACGTATTGACAGTGAAAATAGTTCACGTTCAACTATTAATTTCGACATTCCGCGTTTTAAATATGTGACTTTCGGTTTAGGCGCATTTTTAACTACGTGTCCGGTCCGTCCCTCGAGGGTCCCTAGTTCCGATCACAGTCGACGTGTGTTTTGTTAACCGAACACTGAAATTCGGGTAATATGAAAACGTTCTAACAGTTTAACAGTGATACGCAGAAGCGATACGGTACGTGGATGATATCCAGTTGGAACAAGCCAGGGAGGCCACGCAATGCGTCTATCGACTACTGTACGATACACGAGGGTTCGTTCACGTTCGCGACGCACGCACATGCGGCACGGTTTATCCAAGTTTGCGACAGATTTTCTTCAAACACCTATTGCATCGACCCGTTTGCTCGGTTAACTCAACAGAGAGATTTGGGACCTCTCTGAGGATACCGACTTAAACTATTTAAATGGGAGTTGTTCTTTTCATCAATCGTAACTTTCTTTGTACATCATCGTTGCTGACGGAATGAAATGATAGTCGATCGCGCTGATTTATTGGATGTGCGTCGTTATTATTATCTGGCATTGTTATTATTGTTCTGTTATCGTCGTTTGTCCAACGTTAATCTGGTATTCCAAGCTACCCGAATATGTAAATAGGAAGATAACAGAGTAAAACATGTAGTAAATTTACTGCGGATAGAATTGGTAATTACGAAGATTATTAATGAGATCAGATGGTAAAAAGAGATTGCATGGACCAAGCGAACGAAGCGGAAACCGTTTCGAATGCGGAGCCGTTGGCCCGTTTAATGCGAGCCGAATTCCGCAACGATTTTAGGCGAGGTGGGTCGACGACTGCGGTTGTGCGAATAATTTGCTCCGCATTACTCCGCAGTCGGTGTGTTTTGACAGACTATCGCGAGTTCTACGTCGGCAGAACGGGAAACAAAAGGAGCACTGTCGCCGCTGAACGTGCATCGCGAACACTGACCTAAATACACACTCGGAGTTCTCCCCTCGGTAACGAACCCGCGGCCCCCGAGCTTTTACTTACATCGCTCCGCGTGATTCGCTATTCGTTTCACGAAAGGTTGGGTGGTCTCCCGTTCTATTTTACGCCGTGCTCCTTGTCAGTGACCAAACACGACCATCGGGCGTTTCGGTTCGTTTCGTTTAACCCCTTTCACGATTTTGATCTACCGTCGAACGACCCTATGGGCAAAAGATAAAATGCGAGCTTACCGTTGTTTTTGTTACGAACCTCTCGGTGTTAAAAGTGTTCGAACGAACACCGAGACTTTAGATTCATTGGTCGGACCATACAGGGTCAACGTCGGCTTAAACGAAGGACGAATTATTTGCTGGAATTCGTACTCCGGTAGATCGTGACACGATCGCGATTTCGTTTATCGTACGCGTGTTTGGCGACGGACAGCGAGTTTTCGTTCTCGAACCAACGCGATTACTTCATCGATTATACTGCTCGCTATTTTCTGACAATGAATCTTACGTATGTAACTCGTGCGAATAACTTCTGACTAGAAGAATGTATCAAGCGATTACTTTATAAGTAATAAAAAGATTTCTGATTCGCGAACCTTTGCCTTTTCAAAATCAATCCACCTTCCCTCGTAGATTAAGATTCATAATCGCTCGGCATGTCCTCCTTCGAAATTACATAAATACGAACTATCGGCTTCATAACTTTTCCTATAATCTGATTACTTTAATTCTCCTGCTCGTTGTACATTTCCATGTATATAAAGTGAAATAAATAAAGATTCATGGCTGCAAAAATGAAGTCTATTATAATAAAAATAGTGAAACACTCGTTTGTCAAATTAATACATTTCATATATTATTTCACCTACGTACATTAATACTGGTAATAATTCGACTGCAGATTTTTACCTAAAGTGAAACACTTACAACGTCGAAACTCTAACATACATTTCATCATTTATATCGATTTTCTACAGATTCAATTTTCCTCTATGAAATTCGCAGTCTACCGATAATACACGAATTGCACAAATTCTACTTTAACCTGAATTATCATTTGAATGAGTAAAGCGGTGGCCCCGCAGCCTCGAATAGAACTGATGCGAAGTAAGATTCGGGGTCTAAATCAGTTTCAAATGAAAGGCGACACCTCGACGGAGCCAGTCGTCGCGTTCCTCCCTGGGACATCCGACCGGAAGCGTGCAAATGAACACGTCCCTCTGCGAGTTGGCGTAAACGGGAACGTCGAGCACGTCTTCCGAATCACCGTTCTCCATTGTCTCGTGATCACCCATTGTTTTACCCATCGCGGCTCGATCGTCTGTTAAAAATGCGATCTGGCAACTCGGCGCAGCTGCCACGGAAGCTGCGTCCGGGTCCAAGTCCTTCAACGCGCCGTGCTCTATCGAGCCTCCTGGCATTAGGAATTAGTGTCATTCATTATTCGTTCGATCGACCTATTATGCGGGGTGAAGCATTTAAAACGAGTCATAATCTCTCAAATAACTCATCATCATACGATCTTTCAAAATTATTTTTGTACAATCCTCTACTGTAATTCTCCTGTTCGTTGTATATTTCCATGTATATAAAAAAACTTCCAAACCCGTGTAATAAATAAATAAATAAATAAATAAAAAGTCTAATCGATTGATTTTACTCACCCGATATCAAAAGTCCCTCGATGATCAACGATGTCTTCCAATCATTCCTGCGATTTTCGAGCCAGTTCACGTGAAGTCGAAGATTCTCCAAAGGCTGACGCGCTTCTCGCGCCGTGTGCTGTTTCAGGACGGTCAGAAAAGCTCGTGGTCTCGCCAGCCTGGACACGTCGACGACCGTAGAGGAAATGGACAAAACTGTCTCGAGAGTTTGGTGTCTAGACAGAAACCCTTTGACGAAAGGTAGAACTTCTTCCGGGCCATGCTTCCACTCTTCCATCCAATGCTTAGGAGTCTAAACGTCCGAAACAAAGAATGTCAGATGAACGGAGTGACAATTTTACTTTCGGAAGATCATTTTTAGTTTACTTATTTTCCGTTACGATTCGTATAAAGCCGCGAACACGTTTACTACAGATATCGAACTATAATAATATACAAGGGATTCCGAACCCACTTCGTCCACACGCATATAAAATAGCAGCTAATAGAGATGTACGGAAGGATAGGGAGAAAAAAGATGTCGGGGTTTTTGTGTGTCGTGTGAACTGTGAAACGGATCCGGAATTCTTGACGTCACTCATACATCCGCGTTTACCTTAGAATCGTCGAATGGTAAGATTTCCGCGTCGACTCGAATACGGTTCAGCATTCGCTTGGTTAAATTCATTTCGTCGATGAAGAAATTTTGCAAGGCGTCGTTGCTTCTATTTTCTGGTACGGTCGGCGAGGACGCAAAAATGGAACCGTGACGATCGATTAAGTCCTTCAAGTCTCTTTGAACTTTCGACTCCGCGGTTTTCTTATTTTTTTCCTCGTTATCCGACACCCTGATTAAAACTCCTGTTGAAACGAACGAACGACGAATATTTACTAGAAAATCCATTCTACGCTTTCCGCTTTTATTTCGTCTTCCATTGAAGATGTTCTAATAGGTCGGTCGAACGAACCTTTGAGATGAGCCAAGGCTGCCTCGGCGGCAGTCCTCTCCCAAGCTCTGTGCGCGTTGGCCGGCAGCCCGAAGCACTCCTTAGGAGAGTCCGTGTCCGGAATCTTCTCCAGAGCCTTAACAGAATCCTCGAACGAAGCGTCGGTCACCCTAAGCACTCCTGCCAATTTCTTCCGACCTTCAAACACCTCGGAGGACCAAACGTCGCGAACGATCGAGTAAAGAGCTCGTGCGTCGTAATCGTCCTGGAGGCGACCGCCGTAAATGGCTACGTCCAACAGTCCCCTGCCTAAATAAATAAATAAATAAATAAGTAAACAGTTAAATAAATATATCTAGACTGCGGATTTTATGGGTTTATAAAAAAATTGAGTGAGTATAAAAGATTCATTCGATGTCCAGAGACACAGAAAATATCATGAGTGAAATGCACATTATCATTTTTAGAATGCAAAAGAAATGTACTATTTAGATTTCATTTGCTACGTTGACATTGTACTGGGTGCGGCCGAAGCGGAGGGTACACGTAAAAATAGATCGAAGAAAGTTTCTCGAAGAATTCTCTCGTTTGATGCTTCGTTTTCGAGAAAATGAGAATTCAAGATGTAATAATTTTTTTAATAGGTTCGCAAAATTTCTAAAATTTTGTAGAGTGTTTTATTCACGTAATATCTAGTAACTGTTAAAATTTCAACGCTTTTTCATTGTTTTTATCTAAGCGTTGATACAACCTTAACGTGGAATTGAAAGATCTCGGGTGATCCCAGATATGAATGACTAAATAATCACCAGTCTGCCAGCTGCCAATCTTGTCCTTGCTCTTCTTCGCTAGCTCTTTCACAACCAGCTCGTACGCGGCCTCGATATCCGACTCGTTCCACTCGTACGCTCTGATCCAGCCTCGAGGCACGAACTTTCGTCGCTCCTGAAGAATGGCGTGCAACCAGGACAACATCAGGCTGCCAGCCACGTTCAGGTCTTGTCGATTCTGATGTAGCTGTTGAAAAGATCGTCTCGCGTTCCTCTTCACTCCTTCGGGAGGTTCGTAGGCGAGCTTCAGGCAGAGAGCGGCCAGGCTGGGATAAAATCCCAGGCATTCCTCGGTGGTTAACCAGATTCTCGTGGCCGGGTTTTTGTTGCTCGTGCACATCGGCGATCGTAGGAGGCTTTCAAGCCGGGGCAGCCAATTCAGGGCCAGATGCAGATTGCTCAGGAGTATCCAACTTCCATTCCTGTGTTTCGATTTATTTTAGAACCGGGGTCGAAGGTGACCATTTGTTCGTACATGGACAGATGCCCTTTTGTGCAAGAATTAGTTACAGAACAGCGAGTCGATGATCATCTCAATAATTATGAACAGAGTGATTAAGAGTAAAATGAAGCGATGCGGAACAAAGTTACAGTGAGCTAACAATAATAGGTAAGACACTGACTTAAGAATAGGCGATGAAAATGAAATAAAAAATAAACGCAAAGTGAAGCTCGCATAATTGAACTGAAGCCGTGGTCCACGGAGAGTTTATTCGGAAAGAGCTGTATGGCTTCCAAAGTGTTTTGATGTTTGTACGTTCTCGGAGAGGGAGGCCAGATAGTGCTCGCATATTCAAAGCGAAGGAGAAGTTCAAAGTGAGTGTAAAGAGTTAGCAGAGTGAAAGGGCTCCTGAAGTGAGCGCATGCACGCTTCAGGAAGCCCAGCATCTCGGAAGTCTTGTTCGAGACGAAGGAAACGTGTGCACCGCACGTTAGCCGAGAATCAATGAGGACTATTCATTCTTTTCTATAAAAACGATCGGGAAGGATTTTTATATACTTTTCTAAGTCTTCTGGTTTGGTAAAGAGAAAAAGGGGAGCATAAAAGCAAACGAGGAAGGATAACGCGATGTTATTAATTGTTGAATGCAAACTATATGGATACATGAATATGCATGTGATACGGAGGTACGTGATGAAACGGCGGAAGCAGTGATCAGGGATGATGGGTTAATGCGTCTGGAAGACCGTCGCGTCGTCGCCTGGTGGCTCGAAGCCAAGTACCCGCTTCTCTATTAATGCGGTAAGGTGGGTTAGCGAAGATAACGAGACTGTACACTGTCGCCCGTTTACTCCGAAGTTCCTTCTCGTCTTGGGACTTTGAGACCGGAAGGCATTGTTCGTCGCTCGTCGCTCGTCGACGGAAAATGCAGACGCAAGAACCGTCGACGCTGATGCGTTCCGCCGCGGGTATATTGTACCGCAAATTAGAAAGTTGTATTAAACAGACATTTTGGTTATATAACGGCACGGTTTATATAACGAAGATGTTGTTGCCAACGCGGTTTAATTGTGAGGTAAGGAATAAAAAAATTTTCGTTTACATCGCAGTGAATCCTCAGAATTTTTACTCGCTGGCTTACATATAAAAGAAACATTTAATAAAAAAATCTCTCGATAGTTTTCCGACTACCTATATTATCATTGTCAGTTTATGATTCAATTTTCATTCATAAAAACATAAAAATTGCTACGTCTCTTCTTAAATGACTTAATAATTTGAAAAAAGAGTCGATAGCCGAATATGTACCAGCGATTAATCGGTACAATTGGAATCCCATTGACTAAAAGAAAATTTATCAATAAAAATTGATAATTAATTGTTTACTGATATAAATTTTTTATGCAATGAATGCAATACAAAAAAATTAAAGCACAAGAACACGTGTGATAATATACAGTGTATATTACAGAGAAAAATGTAAGAGGGATGAGGTCGATGAAGAGAAGTGTTCTCCTGAAAGGGATCGATGCGAGGAAAGAGTCAGGGATCCTCTGGTATAATAGAATATTCAAATGATGAATGTCCATGAATCTTCCGACTTGGACCACTTCCATAATAACCGAACTGAAAGATAATAGCATTCAGCGACGAGGAAGTAATCGTAGCGGTAAATGTTTCCCTCTCTTAACCGTGGAACTCGTGTAATTAATGAAGTTTAATCTCGCTCCTCGGACGACGGCAGCGTGTTTCAAAATTAGATGCTCGCCACGCGAAAAAGAGTAAGAGGGTAAGAAAAATCTGTTACCGGCAAGCACTCTCGAGCGCGACTTCTGCCTGAGCCACTTGACCCTGGCCAAGAGACACTTCGACGAATCCCGTCGCGGACGCAACCTGATTATTCGCTAACGCTCTCAGCTCCGAACCGGGATCGGCTCCCGGTGATAAAAGTAGCAGCACGGGATACGCCGTTTCCTCTTCGGCCACGTTCCTCAGGGACCAAGGCGCCAACGTCAAATCCTTCACGCCTTTCCATGGTAGAAACGCGTCGACGTTTTTATTAATATGATTTGTAGCAATTTTATGTACAGAGTGTCTCACAACGAACAAGCGAGATATTTTAGGTGTTCGAGTCAGGTGAGACACCCTATATATAAATAATTTAATATGAATGATAAACTTTCGGAATGAACGATACTTGTGATTTATAAAATTATACAACGATATGATACGACTTTAGAGAGATGCACGGATACTTAATTACCTAGTATTTCGGCAGCCAATTTGGAAAGCGCAGTGTGCAAATAATCGGGACGAAGTGTCTTGACGAGTAGAACCTTCTGAAACGTGGTCAGACCGTTCTCCGCGTATATGTTCCCAACATGATTCAACCAAGCTGGTTTCATCCTACCGGCTATCTAAAAAGAACAAACGTCGACGACGTGCGACTCGTGTGACCGCGTTAACCAGGTGACAGACCGGACAGACCGGAGCATTCAGATGAACGTTACGTTGCAAGGAAGTGTTCGCTGCACTGATACGTTCCAGCATCGTCTTCGCACCGTTCAAACTTGTAACGCATCGTGAAAACTTCACCAACTTGCATGGAGCGCGACGATGAACTTTTATACATTTCCATATAACACCTGATCTCTCCCAAAATCACGCATTTTTACAAAAACCGCTATTCTTTGGAAACAATACGCAACAGAGCAATTCTGCTTCCAGATTTGTTTTTACCACGACAAATTCTATGAGAATCATGAAATGCATGTTGCAAAAATGAAAAGATTATTTTTTGTTAGTTTGTGTAGTAGTTTAGCTCCGACAGGAAGTGTTCCGTTACAAGCGAATGCTCTAGTCTGTCTCTACGAGAAAATTGGCATACTTGCGGGAAAGCCGCGGCTAGACTTCGAACCGATAGCTGACGTTCCTCGGGTATCCAATCGGGTACTCGGTACTCGGAATCTTCGTCGTCGTCCAGCGAAACTTCTCCTAATAGAAAGTTCCTTTCGGCCTTCGGCACCGAGCTCAACGAGAGAGCTAATTGCAACGCCAGCGGTAATCGATGCTTCCTATAGACGGCTCTCGAGCAGTATTCGAGGGTCAATCCTACTAATCTGTGAAATCAAAGTCGACAAGGGGTGAAATTGTTTAGCAAAATCCGCATTGCAGTTCGTGTCGCAATGTACCGACCGCTTCTCGATCAGACTGTCCTGCTCCTTCTTATCCTGCGACAGCACTGATCTCCTGTGATCTTCCGCTTGTAAATAAATGTCGGTGAAGGCCTCCGCGGAAAACACGTACAACGGATTCAATGCGGTCAGACTTTTCAGTATCTTGTGCAGGTTCGCTGCGGATTTGGCCACTTTCTCATGCTCTTTGGCTCTCCTATAAAAATGGTATCAGCGAAGAAATAATAAAATAGGATTTTCTTCATCATCGTATGACTTTGAATGCTTATACATTGGGTTGGTGCATTGTCGTTAACTTTTACACATTCCTAATTTTAATTGAGGAAAAACGATTAATCTAATGATGATAATTTTAAGCGAAAATTTCATGAAGGGCTTTATACTATACATATACTAGTCGTTATTAATCTTAGAATCATAGAAAAATACGCCAGCGAGTGAAATCGTGACGTGAACAGAAATTGGGAAGGTTCGAAATTGTTTTATTTCGCTTTAGGTACAAACCTGGTGACGTCTTGGACGGTCCGCCGACTCTCCTCGAGGGCTAGGGCTATCTCTTTGGCCTTCGATTGAGTGGCTTCCAACGAGTACAAAAGGCCTCCCCGGGAGCCCTCGGACTCCTGTCGGAGAAGGTCCTGACCCCTGGCCGTGGCCAGCTGCGCCAGCAGATCCAATCTCGCGGTGTCTCGTTCGCCAGATAATTTTTCTTCGCGTTCCAGCCCCTCTTTTCGCTGCGTCGCCAGCTCCGGCGTCTCCTTCAACAGTACCTGACGCCAAGTAATTAATCTTTGGCTCCCGTATTTTAGTTTCCGCGGACTTTGAACGATAGTCGAGAACTTTTCCAATCTCATTGTTCAGCGGGTTCTTTTTTTTTTCAATTTACCACGGAGAGTTAAAAGGAACGGGAGCAAAGAGCAAGTTTGATGGATTTTCGCGGGGAGAGTGTTTGCCTCACGTCAATTATGACATTGCCTCGAATCCGTAAAATGATTACCTTTTCCACGAATCTCTCCGCCAGGCTCGTAGTTCCGTCGCCGAGAGCGATCTTGAACAAAACCGAGTCGACTTCTTTCGGCAGGCCGTCCAATCTGTCGCGTCTGGTCGCCAGGAAAAGTTTGAAGCCCTGCGGCGCTGGCAAAGTTCGCTCGCCGAGTTTCAAGGGACGTCTTCGCAGCAGCGGCAGCAAGATCGATGGGAACTCGACGAGCTCTTCGACCAACAACGGCTTGCCGAATCTGACCGCCAGCTCTAACGTGGTCAGAAACTTTCCGTCTTCCGGTTTGGTCACCTCCATCCTCGAGCCGACGTTGTTCCTCAGCCAAGACACCGCTACGCCGGACGGATCCACGAACACGGGGACCAGGGGACCTCTCAAGGCGCACGCACCTCCGACCAAACTTTCGGTATCCACCGGCAACCCTTGAGCTCGCCAAAGCAGTCTCTCTCTTTCCGTGATCAGCACCTCGACGGCCGATTTCTTCCATTCGTCGTCCCTTCCGGGATCCTGCGTTTCATTTCTCGTTGTCTCAATTATAAAAAAAAATGAATTTGATCGAATCTGATTAAAATTCAATCGATGAGGTGACGTAAAACTCAGGAATGACGCATAGCTAGCAAATGTATAGGGAGACCAACGATTTCTTCCACTCGTAGTCCATTCCGGGATTCTGCGTTACATTTTTCAAACGCGTTCTATCAACTATCACAACAAGACTAATCGTATCGAAATATTTTCAATGATATTATTAATTAAGCCAGGAATTACTTCGTAAACCAGCAAGGATGCAACGGTAGCGGCCTCGACGTCGAGCTTCTCTTTCCTGGCGGTCAACTCCTCGAGTTGAGCCTGCCAGTCGCGATGTTCGGTGTCTAATTTCTGCAACAAAGACCTCGCGGTTACCAGCCTGGCCTCGGTCGCCTCGGCGCGCAGCTGAAGCGCGGCCGCGCCTCTCGAATGCTCCGCGAGTTCCTCTTGAAGCTGTGCCACGCGGCTCTCCACTGTACTTAACCCAGCTGCGAGTTTGTCGATTTGCGCTTCGGCGGCCGATAGACGCCTGGGATTAGAAAAAATTTCGTTCCCTTTCGTCGAAGAGGAAATAATGATTTATGGGGTCGGCAATGTTTATTTCATCAGCACGAGATTTTATATGTATGATAAAGTTCGTGAAATGCGCGAAGGATGAAATTAAGCGACGAGGCGACGACTCACTCGGCTAGCTGGCGTTGCTCTCGTTCCAGAGGTGCGACTTGCTGAAGAATCTGGCCGTATTGAAGGTTCGCGAGAACCCAGGCGGCCAACGGGGCCGCGGCCACCGAGGCTCGTTTCGCGGTTTTCTCCTCGAAACTCTCCGGTCGCTCCTTGACCAACTTGGCAACCGCCTCCAAGCTCGCGCCCGTGCTTCTCCTCGCGTCCCATGTTCTAAACGAACAAAGACGTTACTGCGTTTTTCAAATCCCGAATGCCCCTCCGAGACCCAAAATCTTATTCAGTCACGCTTCATTGTCGATGCAGACGTTTAGAAAGCAAACGCGGGTACTGCTGACTTTCGCAAAAAATGTTTGACCAAGCGTTCGTATTCAATATCGTATTACTGTGTTGGTCAAGAACTTTTTGTCAGACGTACATAGATATATTTTTTCGGTTGAGAAGAAGAAATAATAATAATAATAATTCAGCTGAGCGCTGAAAGCGCTATTTTGCGGCCTGCGATTTAATATGTAATACTTAATATAGTCCTCGGTGGTTCGACATGTTTATTTTATAGCGTGTGATCGAGTCGTTACCTTTCACAGCGATCAAATGAATTAAGTTTTTCCTCCCAGTCGACGATTCGTATATCACGTTAAGTAAGACCATTCTGTTCTCGTCAAACGGTTGATATTGAAAAGCATTCCCGGGAATCGTGAAAGTGTCTACCTAATCTCGTCCTTGATACCGCGCTTTGCCAGGAAAGTCTTCATGCTATTCCAAGAGGTGTCTTTTATGCCCATTAATCGAAGGACGCCCTCGAGAACGTCCCTTACAGGCGCCGGGGGTGCCCTCAGAGAACGAACTTCCGCTAACGCGTCAGCGCTGATGCCAGCTACTGCTTGCGCCGCTTGTTCCACCAGCGGCTCCACTTTTCCCAATTCGCCCTCGATGTCGGTCTGCCGAATCAAATTTACCACCCGTAGACCGGAGATTAAACGGTGAAACGTGCACGCGAATTTCTTTTGCCCTTGCAATACACGATTCGCTCTTCTGACACGTCGAGCACTTTTATTCATTTCTCGCGAGTGCATACGATCACCGAACCACTGATCGTCACGTGAATATTTGTTCTTTCTATTTCAGTTTCAATTACCTTCCTGCGGGCCAATTCCACGCTCTCTCGTTCGGTTTCAGCCTTCAAGTTGGCCATTTCTCCCCTCTGTCCCGTGGCACCTCGCATCGTCGCGGTGATCTTTTCGAGAGCCGCGTTCGCCCGGCCTTGCTCCGCCTGGTAAACCGACAATCAATCGACACGTCGATTCATTTTTCAACTCCAAACTGCGTATCGCGATAATCGTTTAACGGGGGCGTCAGAACGATCGAACACGTTCGATCGGAAGTTTTAAAAATTCGTAGAGAAACGGAGCGAAGGGGTTTACCTCCAATTCCCGACGCTGCTTGGAAACTTCGTCCTCCAATTTGGCCACTTGCTCGCCTGCTTCCTTCAATTTTCCTACGCCAGCCTCGAGACTGTCCAACTTTTGCTCCATTTCCTCGGTCCAAGTCGTGCGCAAGTGTTTCCAGGTGTGCAGAAGCGCGAAGAATCGTGCAGGCGCCTGCTGCCTAGCCGGTGCCCGGAGATGAGCGTTCACGGCCTCCTTGACGCCAGCCGGTGGCACCTCGGGGTCGTCGAGTTCGACCTCGCTCTGCTGGCAAGCCACCTCGGTCAGAGAACCTGCCCGGGTCCACCATTCATTCCCCGTGCCCGGACCGATCAGTACGCACTGCCTCAGGAGCCTAGAGCGCGACAGCCAGGACGAGTCCAGTTCTCCGCTGTCCAGAATTATCGCCACGCGAAGATAGTTCCGAAGACCTGTGAGATTTCGTTACTACTAACTCGTTCGTCCATGCGTTTCTTGTATTTCTTCAAATTAATAGACAGGGTTTTGTCGAACATCGAATGCGATGGTTTTGTACATTCAAAAAGTTGTTAATTTGAAAATAATAAAGTAACCGAAAAATGTTTATTTCTGAATTATTTATACCCACAGCTAATATTTTTTATTTAAACTCATTTATTTCAACACTTCTCAGGTAAAGTATTTCTCAAATAAAAGTTTTTAATGTACAGAATATGTATTACTCGGTATAAAACTTTCATTCTTTCGTGTGCAAACCTGCATTCTTGTCGAAAGTATCGCGGGGGACGCTGGTCTTCTATAAATATGCAAAGCTGCAATTTAACAGTAGAACTACTAGCTTTTTTATACATCCATTTCTCTATTCGAAACCAGTCACGTTTATTTATTTACCGGCAGAACTCCTTCAGTACCAATAATGAGCACAAAGCAGTATACAAAGAGGTAGTTACGTGCATTGCCAAGGAAATTAGTAAAGTAATAAAAAGAACAGAGAATTAACGCCTGGCGGCAAGCGGGAATACGCGGTCAGTACGAAATAGAAGTCCTAAAACAAGAATAAACTCGTAGTCGATCACGGTGATGGAGAACGAAGTGGCGGTGGAGCTTTTGCCGAATTACGTCAGCGGAACCTTTTGACTGGTTTAGTAGTTCCAGTGCTAAATAGGAGCAAGGACTAAATATTCGTGAACGGTTAACTTCTGATTAGTTCGGCAGATCGAGTCGCCTATATTCGGAAAGCAGTGGCTGGTCCTGAAAATTAACATTGCGCTTACGATGATAGAGGTACTGTTCCAACGTGCCCGAAAAATCCTCCCTTCTCGCCACGTCAGCCAACGGCGCTATTAACCCGTCGAGTTCCTCCACTGTAAACAATCCCGGAAGCTCGCCTCTCGACACGATTGCGCTCGCCAAAACCGGCAACCCGACCTCTCTCGCGTGGTGTTCTTCCAATAGCAGCAGCGTCGGCTCGCCATCGATTCCGGCAGCTTGCACCGCGGTTTTCACGGATACTCGTCCGCGACCTGAAACCTTCGTTTCCTGTACGTCGACCGTCGCGCATCGAATCGTTGCCAGATCACATTCTCGGTTTTTCCAGATAAAATAATGTTTCGACAGAAATTTTCACTGATCGTACGAATCCTCCTGACGATGTCATTTGACACACAGTAAATGTCCTAATTTCTGTTCACGTTACAAATTTTAATCACTGATTCGCGATTACATTTTAAGTGATAGAGAAAATAGAATTGTTACGTGGACAAAAATTGGCTCGTTTATTATACTTTATAACTTGCATCTTACCGGGTCCCGAATCCACTAAACGCAGGGAGGAGAACATAGCGGCGAGTCTCACCGCGGATTTTCTTCCAGCCCCAGGTCGCCCGATCAAAATCATGCCACGCAGTTTCGTCCCAAGCGCCCAACTTAAACCTGAGAATCCACGAAGCATCATGTATCATAGAAAGAATTTATCATGCGTCATTTTAACGCATTCCGAATTTCATGAGAAAAATTACAGAAATATCCGTAAACTTGGTGTTAAAAATGTTTCTATTACATGGAAATAAACCGCGAATTCGATTATTTAAAATACATTTTTTTAAACCGATGCCATTTTTTCCGCGGTTTAAAAATCCGCGGTCTGTAAGAAACGTTGATTCGTTTGCAAGAAACGAGACGAGTTCGAATCGTTCAATGATAAACCGATAATTAAGCTGAACTTTGCAAACGCAATGTCATTAAACTCGCAGCGGCCCGTACAGGTGGACGATCAACCTCGCTTGGGATACAACGTACACACCATAAAACGAAATTAACTCGATGCGCTTACCGGCGACCGCGCGCAACAGGTGAGACGAGATGGACGCCTGCACCGGATCGCCTTCCCTGGCGCATCTCGCCGCTGCGTTAATCATCTCCTTCCGCCACTGTTCCTCGTCCAACGGCGACAGTCCGTTGTTCCCATGTTTCCATACGTACACATCGCTTCCCGATCCTGTTGACTCACCACCTTTCGAGAGGACCATCGACTCCCAACGCGACTGCTCTCTCGGCGTCAACCTGTCGTGGCGGACCAAAGGCATGGAATTCGAAATGGAAAAAGGAACGTGGCGCGGAAGTTAACAAATGTCAAAGGGTCGAGGAGGACGTCTGAAAATCGAGAAAATACCTTGGATGAAACAATCGTTGGCCAGCGTCCAACAGGTGACGCGTGATATCCGATTCGTTCTCCGGGGTAGGATAATATTGCAGGCTGTCCGCCCACAGTACCAAATCCTTCGGTGTCCAGCCGGGAGAGGATGCGATCGATCGATAAGCATCCGACATAACAGGTACCATCCGCCCGATCCACGATTCGATCGTTACGCGATCCCCTTTTAAAGAGTTCCTTAGATGCAGCTCCAATATGCCTGTGATGTCCTTTGTACTCGGATTTCTACAAAGCGCAATGGTCTTCCGAGGAATTAGTACACTCATCTCGAAAATATTTATGCGAAACGTTTGTGGTCGGCACCGATTTAGAAAATGTGATTTGGATAAAGATTTCTTTCCATTGTATCGTGTAAGCGTTGGAATATGAAACTTGCTTTTGATATTTTATATAATTGCAGCATGCATAATTCCATAAAATCTGCAGTTTAGTTGTAGGAAATTGAACAGACATAAAGAACGATGCTTACGGTAGATAATGAGTAGATAACAACGCTTCTAATCTCGGATGCAGCTTCGTCGTCGCATCAGCAGTACACACGATGGTCAGAGGAACTCTCGCGAATTCAAGGTCCTCCTCGTGGAATCCTCCTTCCTGAATCAGCTCTCGCACCAATTCCTAAAGGCGAACGAGTAATTCGTTCGTAATCGTCCATTAAGTAAAATCTTCGCTCTGGTTATAAAATAACACAGTTCAACGAAACGAAACTACGTGATTCTCATAGTTTCGTTATTGGCACGAGAAACTCTGTGAGAATCACGTATAGTAAATCATGCTCAATTTATGCTTACGTTACAATTTCTATTCACTGGTTTAAGACTGCACATAAAATTGTAGAAAACAGCCAGTATGTAGAAACTATGACGTCGGTAGAAAATGAGACACGTACCACAATAGACGTAGCAAAAAGATTTTGTTACACGCTTTAATCGATACCTGCAAACTTTTGGACGCGAGGTGAACATCCTCCAAGATTAATACGATCCTGGAACCGATCCTAGGTTTGTACGTCCTTCCGTGGGAAGACGAGTTTAGTTGAACGCAGGCTCTTTTCAGTTTCATCACCAGATCTTGCGACCCGTAGAGGGACGAGCCTTTTATCAACGTCGATTGCTCGGTGCTTCGTACGGACGAGAGGACGACGGATATCAGGGCGGTCTTTCCGCAACCCTCCGCTCCTCTTATCAATATCGGTCGATCGTTCGCGATCCATGGCAATACCGACGACAACGCCTGTTTCATCGCGCCTGAAATATTTATCGTAGATATAATATAACTAAACTCAGTCAGTAATAAGTCACAGACTTCTATATTTACGTAGAAGTCAATTATTTCATACATTATACAAAAGTCTGTGTAATAATCTAGAATTTCTGTATACATATAGAAATCTATGTAGTACATAGACTACATAAAACATTCATGAAAATACATTTTATTGTTAGATGAGAATTTTTCTTATCTCTTAAATATTCAATCGCACAATAAATTCTGATAAATTTACTTTAATTTTTCTCTGGATGTATTTTATCAATACAACCCGCGATCCAGTGATGAATTCTTTTACCTGACAACGAAACAGGACCATCTTCGGTATCCGTCGATTCGTCAACGTCTCCGATGGCTTCCAATCTATCTGTATCTTCGTTGTATAACACGGAACACGGTTCCTGGGTATTCGGACACCTGGGAAAATATGGAACAAGAATATTCGACGACGACTTACAATTAAATTAATTACTCTTTAGAACACTGTTAATTTAATTGCATAATTAAATCTTAAATCTGGTTCAAAATCCTTACCAACAGTCCGTGGACTGATAAATGAAGCGCGCTAATTCGTTCCTGGCGCCCTCGTCTCTCACTTGGCCGCACAACCCCGTCAACATTCCGTAGGAAACGGAAGTGTAGGTCCGAGCATTCTTCAAATGGCAAAGCACCGAGTCCGTCAGGCCCCACGCGGAGGACACGTCCACGTTGATCTTCAAACATTCTTCGATGCACAGACGGAGATGAGAATTCGCGAGCTCCTTCGCCGCTTCCGGAAGTGAATTCAAACGCGACGATGTCAGCAAGCTCCCAGGGCTCGTCGAACCGAGGTGGACCACCCCCAGTCGCGACACCGTCGCAGGACTCGCACCGGCCAGCTTCTCAGCCTCAAAGATGAATCTATGGATGGCATATAACGAAAAAAAATGCATTTACGACACGAGGTAAAAATTGATCTTGATGAAATAAATAATGTCCTAAAAAAGGATTTTAACTTTAAATAATCTTATAGTCGGTGTTTATTAAAATACGCTACATTGTCAAAAATGTAACAGCATCTACCGACGTGCTGTTAAAGTGTGCATACAGTTTTTCGGCACATTACAGTTTAAAGACCTATAAAACGGCTATAAATAGGGACAACAATCGTGCAAGCTTATGTATTATATCGGTGCACATGTCATTGATTTTCACACCTTCCTAAATGATTAAACAATTTCATCGTCGACTGTAACGAAACGAGATTGTGAAATATCGCTGCTTCCGCTTTATGAGAAATAATACGAAGAGGATTCACCTCGTGCCAGCGCCGAGCTTCACGCTCACGCCGTTGGGCAACGTCAGCAATCGATTGTCGTCCAGAGCAGAGTTTAAAGCCTCTGCCCATTCCGGTTCCACGTCGCTGTCGAGTACGATCCAAGTGGTTGAGTCTCCAGCAGACGCAACGGCGTTCGACAGCAACCCTTCCTTCCATTCTCTGATAGAAAAAACAGTCGAACAGATTTTATATGTTTCATTTCCATTGACACTTGATTCCGTACCTGGTCTGCGGATCGACGCTGCCCAGAAGTCTCGACTTGGGCATAGTTCCCGGAAACGCGTGGAACTGAACTACAGTTTCACCGATCCTACTCAGCGCTTCGCTGAGCAATTTCCTAATCGTCGTTTTACCGCACCCCGGGGGTCCGACGATCGCCACTCCGGTTCTACTTCTCAATTGATCGTTCAATTGAACGCATCTGTTCGCCACTTCCCTCTCTAACTCCTGTTCGCCGCAAATTTCCAGCAGAGCTTTCCGCAGATCCTGTCTCTCGACGAACGTCCACGACGACGGACTCGCTTTTGGAAAAACGTCTCCCAACAGGGAAAGAAATCGCAGGGTGTCCTCCTGCGTCAACTTGGGCAACGTCGATGCTCTGATCGCTGCCACCAGTCTACCGTACGAGATAACAATAATAATTATAATAATTATATCAAAGGTGCAATAAATAATAATAACGAAAATCGACATAGTAATATCTGACGAACCACCCTATATAAGAAAAGGTCGATAGTTCTACATTGAATAAGTCTATAAACGTATCAAACTGATTGATTTTGGACGCTACGGATCTTGAACTAACACGGTTATATAATAATTGAGATGAACAGATGAATCATAGCCTCGAGCATTTGAAAGGAATTGCAAAAGGACGCGACAATAAAATAGAACCTGCTAGTCTCGTCCAGATCGGTTTTCGTAGGGAGAGCATCGAGGACGGATCTGAGAGCCCTGAGGCCCCAGTCGTAATGTGGCTGATTGGACAACAATATCTCCGCGATGTCAAGAGTTTCGATGAGTTGTCTGGCGAGCGTCGACGCGTCCAAGAATCCGGCACACTCTAACAACGCTTTCACGATGTCGGTTCTGTCCGGATGCGCCATAGCGATCGGTCGGAAGAGCCGCGCTAAGGAGTCTGGGAGCTTGCGACGGCCTCCGTATTCCGATCCGGCAGGGTTCATCGTGATGAAGATGCAACAGTCCGGGTCCAGGTTCACCTTCTGATCGGCCAACAGCACGTGGGACGATCCGTCGCGGACGGCCTCCTGAAGAGGTCTGACGAGCATCGCCACCGCGCTCAGAGTCTCCTCTTCCAGTCTGTTGAATTCGTCAAAGCAACCCCAAGCTCCGGCTTGAGCCAGCCCGCCTAAAATCCGTCGCATGCTTCCGGTGTCCATGCCTGAACACGAGTAGAACGTTTTTGGTAAGTAATCGAATCGAGGCTTATATAAATTAGACAGTGGATCTCACGCAATTATAAGAATGAGAATGGAAATGTCTAGAATTTTATTAACGTTAACCTACTGATAATTATAAATAGACATTTCCTGCAGAGTATTTGCAGAATGAAATTTTAGAGAATAAAAAGTTCTCTTACAAACGCCTAAAAATCCGCGGTCCAATTATAAATCTTATAATTTGCATAATTTGCTTTGCCGACCCGAAAAGCTATCGACTCCGGGGCACTTATCGCTGGCTTCTCATTAAAAATTAAACCTCATTGTCGATACCACCGCAAAGGTGCTCCTCGAGCCAGCGGAAACGAAACGGTTCCGAGGTCGTAAACGTCGAAACGTAATCGTTATTACCTTCGTCGCAATTGAAAACTAACACGGGCCTGCCGAGAATAGCGCCAAGGGCTTTCACGCTCTCGGTCTTTCCAGTTCCAGCTGGACCCGTCGGGCTGCCGCCCAAACCGAGCTTCATGGCCTGCGCCAGGGCCAAGAAACACCGCTCAGTCAATGAGGTTTGGACCAAGCCTACCGCGGCGCCCTGATACTCGAAACGGTACGGAAACTCCGCGCCGGCACAACGCACCACTGGACCTTTGTTCTAAAATTAGCAGATGAAAGTAGCTCATATCGCATTTAAAATACGGTTTTGACGGAGCTATTCGGTGTATGATAGATCGTACGATTTGCGAACAAATGATTCATAAAAGATCAAGTCGCTGAATCACGGAATTCGAAAGAATTGAGAATTCTCTAAATTTACATTTTACCTTTTCCATCCCGTTGCTGGACAATTGGAGTAAAATTCTGAAATTGATTTGTAGCTATTCGTGAAGGAAAATCAAATCTACGTATCATCAAACTTGAAAAATATCGAGTTTTCTCTTCCAATCTATTAAGTTCATCGAACCAACAATTATTAGTTATACAAGAGCAAGACAGTGTTTGAATCGAGAAAAGTGATGGACCGTTCGTCAGTGTTTTAGACGCACGGTAGACACTCGTGGGTGCGTTGAAATTGATGAACGGGATAAATTCGAACGGAAGGAGACAACGGGAACAGCAGCTATTGTAAGGAACGGAGGATGATCGAGCGATCTTACGGTTCTGTAACTCCGTATTTGTCTCTGCCAAGTCCAAACGGTGCTCTCTTCGTTTCGCGTGGCGTTCAAAAGGCTCCTCGCTACGCCCAAACGATGAACGGTATCGAGAAGAAGCCCCCGCGCTTTTAAAGCCGTTAATTTGTCACCGGCATCCTCCAGGCCTCTGTACCTAGCTCTTTGCGTCTCCAGGTATTCGACCAGATTCTTCAAAGCGGAGCGGCCGTCTTTCAATGCGGTCTCGCAACGCTCCGTGAAACGAATCCTCTCTGCCAGCAGCAGAACCTACGCCCGGATACCCGGACCAATTAGCTTTCACCTCTTAATTTCTTAGATGGATTTTAAAGCGACGGAGTCTCGATTCATCGCGGTCCAAGAGTAACGCTTTCCAGCTCGTTTGAGAAGTCGAGAGTTTCCTCGACTTTTGAAACAGCTGGATAATTGGACAAACGGATTGGAAAGAAGAATATACTTGAGTCGGGTAGGTGGAGGGGTCGGGCGACGTGTCCGCCAAGCATTTCTCCAAACTATCTCGGAGAGCATTTTTCATCCTCTCTTCCAGGTTGCTAAGCCATCGCGGTAACGAGTCCCGGAGATCGACAGCCTGGGGCAGCCGTAATATTTCGCCTTCCGCCGATACGACGGCCGTCAGTCCATTATCGTCCGTTATCGTCGAGCCGACGCCTTGATACAGCTTTGGTAAATGAGCTTCCAAGCCTCGCCCGCTGCCCGAGACTAGTTCCAAGAGGTCCTCGTCGCTCAGGAAGTACAGGCGCGGATAAGACGATCGCTTCTCCTTCGAACGAAAAAATTTAATCGATCCGATGAGCGTTAGGAGACGTTAGGAGAGGTTAAATTAATTTACGCCGGTCGTGATAGCATTTTCACCTCTAAATACTCGTCGAGGCTCTTTTGGCATCGGTCTAGAGAGTCCTTTAAATTCGTGAAAGCCGATATCGGTAATCTTCGCAAAGAAGACACTCTTGGATCGCGAGACACTTCGCCCATAAGATATCTGCGACATATTTTCTGATTCTAAATCTATCGTTCCGAGTCTCCAATTTTTTTTAGTAAACACCGAAGACCTGATCGATCACCTAAATTCTTTGTTGGCTCTGGACCATCTTCCCGTGTCGTTCGGAGCTGCGCCACCTTCATAAACCGGCTCCAAGTAAACCCACTTCCTCTGCACGGTACTCAGCACCTTTATTCGCTCTTCCACTTCCGACAAGCCGGCTTCGCAGCGAGCGACCTTCTCCGCGAACCTGTCGTACCCTGCGGCACTCTTCGCCCCTTCCAAGAGGAGCCTCAATTCACCTGCTCGAGCCAATAAACTCCCGTACTCCTCGACGAGAATGATGTTCGCGTTTCTGCTGTCTTTCGATTCTTGAAGTTGGAGATGAGCCGACGTCTCCCAGGACTCGAGCTCCATCAACCCTTGCCGGATCCCGCTCTCCGCCGCGGCTCTCTTCGTTATTTCCTGATAGAAAATGTGCTCCTTAATTACGGAGTAATTTAAATTTAATTGCGAGCGACAGAGAACAAGTAAATTAATATCTTAATTATGAGTATTATAATAATTTTCGAAATCCTTGTTCTCGTCGATAATATCCGCGTAGTGCCGGTGGAAATTATTCCATTCGTCTCGTTTCTCCGCGTAATCCTTTCTCAACTTATTCTTACATCTTTTTCCCATAATTCTATTCGTGTAAAAGGAGGGTAAACACGTGTTAATTGTAATACAACGAAAAAAGAAACCCTCGAGATAAAATTCCTAATCGATGTTTTAATCTATGGAAGATTCAGCTGACGTATCTCTTTTCTGGTTCGTCCATTTCATTATATATTGAAAATCGTCAGCTATTCGTCGAACGAAGCAAATTGAACTAAGAACAAAACGATGGAAGTCAGTTTCACACCTTTATCTTCTCGACGTTCTCTCGAATGTTTTCCGCGGAGTGTAGCAAATGTCCCAACGTGACGTCCCTGACGGTCCTCGCGTTCTTCAAATCTAAAATGGGCATCAGCTCGGACCAATGTTCCTCGGCGATCTCGTCGCCGCGTAGAAGCTGCAGCCACTCGATGGTGGCTCTCACCTCGCGCAGCTTCTTCCCGACGAACGTATTCATTTCCAAGTTATCGTTCGCCTCGGTCGAATCCTTCGACCGAACGCGTATCCTGCTCTCCCACGAGTCGAGCCAATCGTGAAGCCTGGGCAATCTCCTCCTGGCGACGGTCCACTCCTCCTCTTCCTGATTCTTCAATTCCTCCAAGAATTCCTCCTGGAATCGACAATTCGATTCCTCCACCTCCAACTGTGATTCGAGGATCTTCATTTTCTCGTCGTTGTCCACGAGCACGTCGTCGACGTTCGCGTCGATCTTTCGACAGTCGCTCCTGAGAACGTCCAGCTGTTGCTTCAGATACGTCCACCTCTCCTTCGTCGAGATGATCCAGTCCAACGCGAGGATCTCGGGCTTCGAGGACCACTTCGCCTCCCATCTCTCGATCTCGTCTCGCAACGCCACAGCTCTGTGACGAATATTCACTCTAGCGTCCTCCAATTCGCGGTCCACCACGCTCTTGTGACGCTCCAGCCGGTCCGCCAGATCCTGCCAGCCCGTGTGCGCTGCGCTCACGCCTGAACAAACGATTTTTACTAAGGACAATGATTTTCTCATACACCGAAGCGAGTAAATAACTCGACAACGAAATCACCTTCGAGCTTCTCGCTGGTCCAAGCAGCGAGCACTTTGGACAAGCCTGTAACAGCTTCCATCTCTTCGGCCATGCCGGCAGATTGTTTTTGGATGCGAGCGTGAGCCTCGTAAGCCAATCCGACTTCCTCGACGTTTCGAGGTCTGCGTTCGAGCTCCCTCGACGCCGAGGACAGGAACTCGACGACGGCGACCAACCTGGAGGAAGCCTCTGCCCGCAGATCTGAACACAAACGTTCCCAATAACGACGAGAAGCCGATTCCAGGTCGTTTCTGGTCGTAGCGGTGTCAACGCTGATGCACCAAATCTTCACTTCGTTTCCACGTAGTCTGCCAACCTGACGCGATCATCGATCACAGTTAGTTCATGCGATTGAAAACAGATTTTTGTCGGACAGAATTTGACAGCTCACCTCCTGGGCCCACTGCTTCGCATCTTTAAACGCCCTCGTCCATTCTTGCGGCGATTTCCCTTTCAACCTTTGCACGTAAAATAGAATAAATGGATTTAAGTGAATTTTTATGTGTCAAGTAAAATGTGTAAAGAAATAAAATTTAAATGGGTATCTGTATCACCCTTTAAAAACTGTAATACACGTTTCAGTTTCGATCTCCTATGCGCGATATTAAATTGCACTTTTATATTTTTTCAATATTTTTATAAACGAATAAACATGGAACCCGTAGTAGAACGATGAAACGTATGATATTAGCTAAGAAGAATTATAAAAAGTATCTCCTTTATCGTTCGAAAGAGTAGATCGTACCGTTCGGCAGCGTCGACTTTGGCCGGCGCGACCAGGTAAAGCCATTTGGAGCGAAGCGTCTCCAGAGCGGAGAGCGCGATTTCTGCCTGTTTATAGACACCGCCGAACAGGTAGCAGCTCCTTTGAATCAGGCCGCCGAAGCGAGCCTCGGCGGCGTCCCCGACGCCTCGGAAATTCATGGGGATCGAGAGCGAACGGCGGACCGACGAGTAGAGCTTCGCGCGGATCTCCTCGAGGGACGGTCGCCATTGCAACGAGCCGTCCCTAAACGTCAGCTCTACTTTAACCTCCGGCAACTTCTTCAACAGAGACGGCAACGCGCCCCTGAACAGCCGAGAAGCTTTTATGCAGATTACTTGTGAATATGAAAACTGGCCGACGCGAAAGTCGGCGAAACGGTTGGGAACTGGTTTCGCGATCATTCTCTGCGTCGTCAGGAAGAATGGGAAATGCTAATCTTTTAACCCGTTTCCATCGTAGATATAATAGAAGACACTAATACCATTTTTTATACAATAATGATGAGACTGCGGACTCTCATACCAAGTATAATATTCATGGTGTCGGTTTACAAAATGTGTTGTAGGTAAACACTCGTTTTATCATTTAAATATTTCAACAGGGCTTTTACCCTCGATGTTGAATTCATCGTACAACTGCATAGAATCCGCTGTCTCATAATAATAATTACCGTAATCCTGGTTATAATTTATAATACAGTATTTCCATTGTCATAGCAGAACGTATGAAATATATAGTATTTCTCAAATGCTAATTATACAAATTATGCGAATCAATATCGTGCTTCCGAGTATCTGAGAATTGCTTTTATTGTCAGATGATCATAGTTACCTGTACGCTACGCCCAGCGCTTTGAGAAGCTGTCTGTCCCAATGCAGCTTCCACGCTTTTGTGTTACCGTATTCAGCCTCGACGGTGTCGACGATCGTCCTCATGTTTGTCAACGCGTCTTTCCAAGCGTTCTGATTACCGATCAGATTGACGGTTTCGCCTTTCAGCAAATTGGACACCAATTCCCGTAAGGAATTGTGCTTTGTAGCTAATTCCGAGTTCTGTCGCGCAAACTTCCTCACCTACATCAATGCCAATAAAAAATAACGTACGTTCGTATGTCAGGCAAATCTATTGCCAAAACGCGATGTTGATGAAACATACTGTTTAAATAAATTGAACGTGTGATATTCATATTTGACTTATATATTGATGTATTAACTTTGTGATCGATGTATCGTATTTTAACTGTGTAAGATCATTGTTGAAACAGAAAATAGCCAATAAATTCGATCACTTATTCGATATATTCAATGATTCCAGTCATGCCATCAGGCATAAACCATGCTTGTATTTTCTCGCATCGCACGATCACTTATCATATAAATATGAACCATTGGCTTCATAACTATTAAAATGTAAAATGGTTTCTTAACCCGCGAAATAAATAAATAAATAAATAAAATGGATTACCAATTCTTTTAGTCTGGCGGTATAAGCATCTATGGCTTGGGGATCGGTCCAGACCACGCCGGATTGTTCCTGAACGGCTCGGGCCAGTTCGAGGGCAGTGGTCAGCATTAACGGTCTCTGAGACGGTACCATACGATCGCCAATCGTGTTGTGGAAGGTGGCTATCTGTTGCAGAGCCCTAGCGCGACCTGCGAGTGATTCTGCCCTTTCGACCAAGTCCCTCGCCTCTCGAGGAAGCTCGACGCCTTGGCTGGAGAGCGCCCTAGCTTCTCGAATCAGAGTCGTCAACTTCGGATCGTAGGTGACTCTCATCATGCTGGTCCCGGTCAGCTCCACAACAGCCGAGTCTGTGCCAAGCGTCAGTTCTTTCTTAGCGATGGCAGTCTCGGTCTCTTCTATCTGTACTCATTGCGAAATAAATCATTTTTATACTCATTCGATTAAGTGAACGTATGTACATGCGAATGCTAATATATATTGGATGAATTTTTTGGAAAGTACCCAAGTGTCGACGAAAGTTTGCCTCTTCCTTTCGACTTCCTTCGATGCCGCGATTACTCGCGACGAGATCTCCTCGTATCCAGGAAGATCGGAAAGTAACTCCTTCCCTAACTTATTCAGATTCTCCAATTTTAATTCGGCCGACCTGGCAGCTTGAACTTCTTGAAGGATCCTCGGAATGTCCAACAAATCTCCCGTATCCGGCCCAGCCAAGCAACTTTCTTTAATATTAAATAAATGATGGTACGAAAGTCGGAGTTCGTCGATAGACTACGGATTTGTATGGAAAATAGAACATTTATATCGTTAATTCACGATACGTGCATTCTCTACGTTTCCTGAACATTCGATTTTTATGGAGGTGCTTCAAATCCATCTACTGATTAATAAATAAGACTTTTGTTATGTTTTCTTTATGAATAAGAAGGAGTGGCGAGATGTGAAAGAGAGAAAGAAGGGACGTAAGAAGGGGAAAGAAGGCAAGCGGTTTTTGGGAGGGTTTTACGGTACGACGAATGGCATTGGAGGAGTGAAGAGAGTGAGCGCCCAATTAATGTACGGATGTGTAAAAAAAGAAGAGGGTAAAATGAGGTTCCTCAATTTGAGGGCATAGACTAAGGATAGCTTTCAAGTTTTTATTTTTATAAAAGAGTAGGTGTATTTTATTTTATTCCATGTGTAGATTAAGGACAGTCGTAGGTTGAGTTCGTCTTAGCTTCTTAAGCTGGTAGGTGCAATTAAAAAAGTTGGCATGTGTAGGCGTGCAGCACAAGTTTATTTTTATACTTTATGTCGTGTTTCTGTACTATTTACAAACGATAATCTTAGATTCTCTTATACCAGTAACGACGTCGTAGGTGGAAACGGAGGTCGGTGCAATTGTGACCCGTAAGGGATGAATAAAGGCATAACTAACTACTTATGAACTTTTCTCAATCAATTTGCCTCGAGAGCGATTACCTATAAGATCTCCGTAAGCCGCGAGCAAAGTCTCTCGTTCCCCGCGCAAACTTCGCTTCAAACCGTCCCTCTTCATCAATTCCGAATATCGTCGAAATTCGGCGAGAAGAGAATTAGGACTCGAAGCGTCGGCGATTCGAGATTTTAATTGCTGCGCGACTCGTTCTTCAGCTGGTACCAGAGCCTCCTCGACCCTTCTCTTCAGCCGATTCCAATCCTTCTCGCCGTCGTCGAACGCGACTAACACGTTTTATTAAGAAACAAATAATTGAATTTCTAATATAATTTACGAAGTATTAATTATTATTATATTAATCATTCGATCGATCATTGTATGAACCATTGCCATCGACATCGAAAATTGTATTGAACGTTACGGCAATTAATGTATTAATTTTAGAAATATAAAAGCGTGATAAGAACCTTTGACATCGTCGAAGGATCGCATCAAGGAATCTGTGCCGAGACCAGATCTTTCATTGATAGTCAGTAGTTTTGTTAATTGGCGATATTGCGCGCGTAGCTCGCCGATCTCCCTGAAGATCACAAAAATCGCGTCGAATCTCGTTCGAGAAGAGGAACGGGAAGACTTGGCGAGAATACCTGAGTCGTTTACCGATTTGCGAGCACCTCGCCGGCGTGTGACCGGCTCCTTTCCACGGATGGACCGAGTGATGAGGCCAGAACAGCGTCGTGAATCTTTCCGTCATGTTCGTCCACTTATCGCAGATGTTCGCTCCGTTCGTGATCGCTTCGATTTTTACCCGGTCGTCGGGACTTCGTATCTGCTTCGCACGTAATTTATCGAGAATGCAATTCAGTGCCCGGTTTCAGAGTATCCAATTTGTGTACGAGACGAGATTTAAAAAGAAAAATGTGTACTCTGGTGCTCGTATAATACTTTCTATGCCTGAGTTTGTTACCTCGTCGATCGCATTTTGTACGAGCGACACCACTTCGTTTCCAACGATATCCAAAAAAGACTTCATCCGTTCCTCGGAGTACACCTGATCTCCTAGCTTCCACAGATCGTCGACGTATCCCGACGCTGCTTCCACGGCATCTTCGACGGCGATTAAGCCGTCTCTGAGTAAGAGAAGAGAGCAGAGGAAACAGAAATAATTATCCTTGATACAAATTTTTGATCAATCCAAATGAATTTATAAGAAAACAGATTTTCTATTATCAAGGTCAATTACAGGGTCCTGCGAAATAAATGGAACTGAATTCTTCTTGAGATGAAAGTAACAACTTCATTCTTTTTATTGCTTTCGAGGAGGTGCCAATTCCTCAAAAATAGTCGCGCAAATAAACTCATGAATAATTGAAGGGTCGCATTTATTTTGCCACACCCTGTGACAGATCTCCATAAAAAACTGTCCACGATCGAATTACGGAATTTCCTGAATAAACGCGATATTTTCCGGCACCTCGCGGCAGCTGCGCTCTCTAATTCAGCCCTGATGCTCCTCAGGATTTTCAAAGCTTCCGCTAGGACCGTTCTCTCGTGCGATCTTTTGGCGTCCTCGCGCTTCTTCGTCCAGTGTTCCTCCTCCTCGAGAACGGAAGTCGCGGCTGACGAGCCAAGAAGATGCTCCTCGAGTTTCTTCAAGTACGAAGAATCGAGGCCGGACGATCGTAGCGTCGGCTCCCATACTTGCCGGAGAGCCTCTACCAACGTCGAACCCTTCCCACTTCCAGTCGTCGTGATTTGAACGAGATCGTGAAAATTCTTTTCCGTCACGGCTGCCTCCGTTAACTGGAAATTCGGTCAGACATCTTCAACCGTGAGCAAAGAAGTAAACGAACGAAGTCTCGTTTCAATTGAATCATTTTAATGTTGCATCGCTTCGATCGATCTTTTATCAATACTTTCTGAGGAACAATCGATTAAAGAATTTGTTATATCCCGACTTGAACTTCCAATGTTCCTTAAAGATTGACATAATACATTTTCAAATAAACAATTTTATTTTCGTTAAAACAGTAATACTTGTAGTAGTAATTCGAATTTATCGAGCAAAGAATGAGGCTTGGTTTACACCTTGAAGACACTTAATCATTCATTCCTCCACACGTTCACACAAACGGTACATTTCATAATTCATCGCCCGTCGACCATGCGTTCTTCTAAAACCTAGACTTATTTCAATTACACTGTATAGTATAAATTAAACGCAATATAAAAGAAACATAAAATTAAGATTATTAACAATTAACAGAAATTAGAACTATTTCCGATGAAACTTTTACCGGGGTGCGTAAAAGTTAAGAGTTAAGGGTTAAGACACGATTAAATCGCGCTTCGATAGCACTTCGAGTTAGGTCCCTCTGGCTCGTTCCTACCTTAAAGAAGACCAGAGTGTTTCTATCATCAGATAACTCGTTGCTCAATCTCAATCGCGCTTCCTCGTCGTCGACTTCAGCCGGTTGCGCGCAGAGAATTCTGCACGTTGCTCTGTCCAAGAAATTGGCCAACACCGTTTCTTCGTTGACGGACGACCCATAGTCGTTTTCGAGCGGCACGCCGAAAAAGTGTCCCGCGGTGGACACTATCAGAGATCTACGTTTGTCGATCACCACCATTTTTCATCGGGTGATACAACGTAGTATCAAGTCGAAAATAAGTAATCGTCAACGTTCCATTACGTACAAGTTTCCTACTGTGAACGGTGTGTAGCGGTCTCGGTCGCGTGGCGATCGTTTCAGTAGTCATGACGACTCCCGGTCAACACAAACTAGCTGACAGTGCCACGTGTTAACGAACAGGGACGTCGCAATAGTAACAGTAGATAGAACACGATTTCTGTTAGAAAAATCAATAGAAACTGTTCGAGGAGTGCTAAAATCGACAACTTTATTTCTTCGGTTTTTTATTCAATTATAGAAAATTTGCATGTAAGAAAATGTATCTATCGCGTATTAACTCCAGAATCTATAAAATTAATCTGAATCTAACGTTGTGAAGTTATACGAGTAAAAAATCTACAAATCGATTACATTTTTTCAAATACAATTCTGCATAAAAGTCCGCAGAATACTGATAACACCGTACAATATAAATTTTCTTTTCCAATGTCCAATACGTAAGTCTACAATAGAGTTCAAAACGAAATAAAAACACATCCGGAAGAAGAAATACTCCGTCAAGTAATAATAGTGGTTTAACATAAATAGTTACATATTATTTCATCCTCGAGCAATATCGTTAATGAAAAACTTAACAAGGTACATTTGAATCATGCTATATGTATAAGCCTTTTTCCCCTTCTGATGGGATCGCACGCGTCGACTTCAAATAAATGTGAAAAATTCCTGAATGGATTTGACTGTTGCGTATCCATTAAAATATGCGGTGACAATCTTCGAGCAGCGTATAGTTAGAACTAATTGCGCGTACGGAACAGTGCGGCTAGGCAGCGAAGAAAAATGAGTCATTAACAAAATATGTAAGAGAAGAAGGAAGACGGAACAAACTGCTCGTGATTCGACTCCTGAGTCGATCCATCGAATAACGTCGATAGTAATCGTGATCGTATTCTAGTAGCCGATTATTAAACTTATTTTTACGCAAATTAAAATACGTAGTAAAAACATTTATTTCGGGATACATTTTTCATCGTTCGAATGTTGTAGTGTGCAATCATTTTTAAACCTACGCGTTTTACTTTTGGTATTTCATAGTTTTGTACAACCGATTTCTTAAGAACGAATCTTACAAGTCTGTCTGCACGTGAGTGAAACTGAAGTGCACGAAGACCGTTGTCAGGATACACGCGCGCATAAAGTTGCTGGCATTGTTAACGTTATTACAGCCGAATATTTGCATAATCGGAGTAAGTATAGCCGCGGCATCCACGCCTCGAATAAGCAATCGGAGTACATTCCGACGAGCGTCGAGGCCGATTTTATGCGCTCGCGTGCATACGTATGAGTACCGACACTACCGACTGTCCATGCGTACTTCCGCCCGCGGCAAATGGCGTGTGGCATGCACGCGCGGTCATCCCAGAACAGAGGATGCCCTGGGACCTCCGACGATCACCAGTCTAGCGATCAATAAAATCGCACGATTCATCGACGCGAGAGGAGGTTCCATCGACGACGATCAATCTTCTCGAGAACAACAGCGGACTTTCGTAATTAAATAATTGCTTTCTAATTATCTCGTTTCTACGTTTCGCGTAATTATTTTTTACAAAGACTTGGCGTTTGGTAACACTTCTCACGTTGCGTAGGAGGCAGTCGGCTGAATTCCTTCATAGAAGAGAAGGCGAGAAAAGTTTTATTCACGAATCTCGAATCTGATTTTTCAATTATTCACAGATGTAGTTTAGTCGAGTACGAATGCTACTAAAATTAAAATAGCCTCTCGTCGTCCTGAGTGAACAATCGTCTACGCTGACGAACCGAGAGGACAAAAGAAGTGGCGTCCGATGGGAGATCAGTTCTGTTTTACAAGGAAGTCCCGTTTCCGCGTGTACGGTTCCCATTCCCGTGGTGCCGGAAGACCTCGCTTTTTATCTCGTTCTAAATTTGCCGGGCCATCAAAGGAGACCTTCGTTACGCGTTGCCAAGCTTAAAAAAGTTCTCCGTACCGTCGAATTACTGGCTAAACTCTAAATCCTCTGAACATTCTCATACCGTTTATTCTACGACAAAGTATATTGTCAAACGTCAACGCAATTATATATTCTCTAACTAGTTTTTAACTGACGATGGGTATCTATGTTCAACTATCTTTTATGAGAATGAGCTCACTCGTTAAATCCACTGGGCGTTGCTGAAGATTAATCATGATTCCTGTACGTAAACTCACTAACTTCATTACCCATTCGTTAGCATTTACAGTACGAACCTCTGGCACGTTCACACTCATACCAAATGCATTAAACAGTTTTTTAATATAAATTTAAATGAACTTTTTGCTGTTTATTTGTGCGCGACGTTATAATCGATGAGAGTCAATCGTTCCGTATGGAACGACGATAGAAACGAAACTTTTGCAAATACCTTCCATCGAAGAGACGCATAATAAAATGAAAGGACCGTAAGGAATCTGCGGTCGAACCAGACCAGGTTTGCCTCTGCAGTTCATTCGTTTTTGTACACGAGGATCGCGACGATTAAACGCTCCAAGGCCGCGTTTACTCGACGATTTTCCTCGTCGTTCGCAAGGAGCAAACCGTGCCGAGCAAATGCTATCGGCAACGCAGCGCAGCGACGATCCATGGATCGCTGGGAGTCGCGATGAGCGTTTGCGACCGTAAAACGGGCGCGTGTTTCAGTCGCGGTACGGACTCCGTTCCGTGCTATTCCATTCTTCGTTCTCCTCTTCCGCTCTTTCCAAATCGGAACTCGTTTCAGTGTCCATTTACTCCGGAAATTCGATCCGCCGTGAATCGAATCGAGGTGAGTCCTGGTGCACTTTACACCTTTCCTCTCTCGAACGCCGTACCGAGTACTCGTTACGTTTATTGTTAATTGTTTAAACTACTGCAAAAGCAACGTGAACAATTTTAAACACTGAAAACTAATATGAAGGAGTAGAAAAGATTCCAGTTTACGATTGACGCGTCGACGACTGATGTCAATTTAAGACGAGAGGTTCATTAATCAGTGAAGTTACACTGCGTACAATTATAATTAGAAGACTGATGCAGCGTCTCAACGCTCGGTGTGAAATATTCGTTAGATCGTTTCATTCGGAGCATTCCGAGGAATTATAGTTAATTACATTACGTATAACGACGTTATCGCGTCCGCCTGTTTTTCCTTGCCACGCCGTAAGAGTAATTTCTCAATCGTCTATTCTTGCGTGTTCGCTCACGCAACGCAAGGTTTACGATGTTTTCGTACGGAACGGTGGGATCATTGAACGTGCCTCCGCCAGTACTACGCACCGCGCGCGTACACGCCAAGACCAGAAGCTGTCTTAAAATCGTTTCCAAACAAAACGCTATGTAGGTCTGGCGTTCACGCGTATAAATGCAAGCGTTGTGTCGACCGTATCTAGCACGCGCGAAAGTGGAGCGCAGTGTATCTGAAAGTATTGTGGCAGCTCGCCGACACGTAAGTCACTTCGATGGGCGTAATGATGCTAGCGCCGAGATAATCCCCGTAATTCTCCAGATCAACGTTCACGAGTGTCACAATTTTTCAGCTCTAAAAGCATCGTTTGCACACGCCTTATAAATTCGAGCAAAGAGGATTCAGGATCCGTTAACAATTAACGTATTTCTATGTACGTTTAACTAAATGCACGTACAAAAGAACGTATAAGTTGAGATTGTATGAGCCGTAAGATCTCTGCCAAAAGTTTAAGACCAATACATTTTTAGGGAGAAATCCTAAAACCATGACAATGTCCTGAACAGTATAATAAGTTATACACTTCTAAGGTGTTCGTAAATGCGTAATGCATTTTACGATTGCTTCCTCGAGGTGTGTACGGCCCGTTCTCTTCCATCTCGTTGCGCGCTTCCTCGAGTTTTTACAGCGAATCTTATTCGATGTTAATCTTCCCGTAAACAATTTATGAGCAGAATCGTAGAGGGATCCTCTGTTCAGTTTATTTCATCCAGCCAGGCCAGAGTGTGTACTTCGGAAACAAACTTCTATTTTATGGGTCAACATTGTTCTATTAATAAATTTCTTTACGTTTCGTGTATTCGTTATCGGACGAAAGCCGTCGGTCTCGGGTCATTTACCAACGTTACCTAATTATCTGTAATAAGTAACAGTCGACTTACACGTTCCATCGCACTTCTCGTCCTTAACAAATAGATTCCCGATTTTTATTTAATATAAAATGTTCGTGATGTCGGTTAAAAATTTTAGCTAGAGTTTTCTTTCATCATTTAAATAGTTTAATATCCTACGTGCATTTATACGTCGCGTCTATTCTTTATAATTACATTTATGTATAATCTCGTCGAATCGACGATCTACTGTAATAAACTTCTAATTGTAGGAAGTTACGATTTCAAGGGAAAGCCATTATTCCTAGACTTATAATTTCTAAACAAAATAAAATATTTATTGTACGAGTTTAAAAACTGTGTTTTAAACGTCTTTCATTATTTTATCACTTTTGCAACGTGCTGTCTGCTTTTAATATTTTCTATATTTTTACACGATCTGTGCAGCCTTCATATTTTTTGTATATTCAGTTCTCTCGTAAATGCATCAAATCGACGATCTACTACAATAAACTACTCGTTATAGAAAGTTTACGATTCGAACAGAAAACAATTATTACTGGACTGCGAATTTCTATGCGAAATAAAATATTTGTGATACCAGTTTAAAATATGTGTTTTAAACATCAGTTTGTTTTATCGTTTCTGAAACATGTAATCTACTTTCGACACTTTTTATATTTTTAGACGATATAGAAAGCGTTTATATTTTCTCTCTCTGATAAATACATTCATAAATTCAGTCCTCTGATAAATGCATCAAATCTGCAGATCTAGTTGTTACTTTCCAATCATCAAAATTTTCGTTGAACGAGAAGCTTTTAGCCCTCGTTTCCTCGGTTAACGATCTGGAAATTTGACGGAAACGTGGGAAACTAGGGAAATCGCCTGCTTTCTATCCTTTCCAACCGTGTACCTTCCATCGGACGAGGAAGCAGTCGCTAAAATTCACAGTCGTTAACACTTGAACCCGTCGCTGTCATCGTCTGGCTCGATTACAACGTTGGACGCCTCGACGAGACACGTTAACGATCTATAGGTCTTAGGACGTGTCGCGAAAGTACGAGCTGAGAATATGACGACATTGTAATGAATGGTCGAAACGTACTAAACAGTGAAATTGTTTATTTATCACAATGAAGAGTATAAAAGATCTTTCACATTATTCGGTTATATCTATTATACGTGATCATGAATGAAATTCTAGTTTACAGTCTATATCTACTATTTACTTGATCGATTGATCTATGTATTGAAAAAGTCTTTGGATTCGTGAGACGACAAATTCTAATGTAATAAAAGTTGCAAGTTTAAAGAACGTTCATTTATCATCAGAATTATTACAGAAAAATTGTTCTTATTTTCGTTTGAAGTAGAATTTAATTGAAAACGTTAATGATTCATGTGTACTGTACGATTAATTACATGACTATCAACTGTACGTATTCTTGATGGGCAACGAGGACAGTCCAGAGACTTTTCAGTAAAATATTTACATCGCAAGAGTCCTCAGACTTCCGAATAGGATATTTACATCAGTAATGTACTGATAGCATAATTAACGGGTCACCGTTAGTCAAAAGGAATAGGTGTCGTTGTACGTACCCGAGATAACGTTGTTACGTTTGTGCCGCATTATTAATCTTAATCAGTCGCACTGCAGAAAGCGAGATAAAAAGTGTCGTTTGCTCTTATCAGATGCCAACGTTTCTACATATGTGATCTGCTGTGAAATCTTTTTGGTTATTCAATCGTGTCTTAACAATTCCCACATAGCACGCCACGATGACACGTCGAAGGTAACGCACGATCAGTTAACGATTCCTAATGAATTGTTCAACTATTATTTGTTAAATCAGTGTTTGCTTTTAAGTGGACCTCAAGTTCCTAAATAAAAGCGTCAACGAACACTGGCATCGACGAATAATTCAGATTTTTAATACCCAATGTTGATCGTCGTCCGATGCGAAAATTATCGGCGACAGCCATAAGAAAAAATGTCTAGTTTCGTAGTATTTCTTCGATGTATTGTTCCATCGTCGTCTCAATTCCGATTCGGACTCGTTTTACGAGTTTCAAAGAGATCAGACAAGTGGACGCCTGTGCGATAATTCGAACGTGGTAAAATTGTGTCAATAAGGCTGACCGACGTTAACAGGCGTTTATTTAACGAGCAACATCTACCATCGAGTTCGCGGTTGTGCATCGTCGAGGAAGACGCGTGCTCGATGCTGAAAGAAACGTGGAATCATGTCGCGCAATTAGCAATGAATCACGCGTCGTGTATCTGAAAGATCGTATGTAGGAGCAGGAACAGTTGCGTCGGAAGATGAGTTAAGGTCGTCTGGAATTCATTGTTTTTCTTGCGACTCGAACGCTAGATGGAACGTGAAGAATTAGGAAAATAAATATTACGGTTTCTTGCAATTTAAAAGTCTCTGGACTCTGTCATATTTTCTGGCACACGATTCTTAAGCCGTTTGCATCAAACCTGGCCACAAATACTATAAGCAAAATTAACGTTTCATGTAATAATTGTAATTACGTTTAATAGCATGTTCGATCGATAGAATAATCTCTGACATTCTGCTAATGTCATGTCAAAGATTAGAAAATGCGTTGAGGCTTTTTCTTTCTTCGTCAATCTCTCTCACTAATGAATTTTTCAACGAAGGAATTCCTATTTAGGAATTTAAAAACGTCTTTCTTTACGAGTCATTTCACACGTAAATGTTGACTGAACAAAAATGTTTCCTGGAAACGAAGTGCAGATTTTATGTATCGCAGTGATTTTCAATTATCTATAACGTACTATATAAATCTGTGTGACGAATGATTTTCGATGATTTATTTTACAGACGTCGAAGGAATAAACGAGCAGAATCGTACGGAACAAACGAATCGAAAATGAACGAGCAATCATCGGCGGGCAAAGGACCACCGAGTGTAATCATGTTGGTTTTCTCGGCGATCACCCACCTTCTACTATTGGCACCAGTAATATACATCCTGGTTCTCGCGTTTCAAAACTACAGCTTCTTCTCCTGGCATCCGATTTGCATGAGCGTCGGAGTAAGTAGCCAACTTGGCCAGCGTGGTCGGTTACGTAAGAACAAATAAAACCACGTGGAACAGGAATTTGGGTCGTTGACTCCTACATCGCATTAGGACGGTGGATATGTAATGTCACAACGGACGTAGTATCAGTTATTGTTACTATAGCTTGCTATTATTGCAAGTTGTACAATCGAGTTATTTAATTTTGCACTCGATTCATGATAATAGATAATAAAAAATAACATGGTAGATGACTGGGAAATTTGAAAGACAGTTTTCACCGTTTCGTATGCAGGAACCTAATACAAAAACTTAGTTGCACAGAAATTAAACGATGGATGAAGCAACGAGTGTTAGTTTGTTCGAGGTGTACCGGTGAAACTCTCCGACGAGCGTCCTCCAGCATTTCATAATGCTCGGATGCAACAGCTACGTCTTTCTCTCTTTTATTCAATTACGCGTATTTCGAATTAAAAATTGTTTTCACTCGGGCTCTGAAATTTAAACGTACGATCATCAGTGGAAAAACTTCGGTATCGAAATTCAGGTATGATTCACGAGCTATTAAAAGCGTGATCAATTTGCTGGTGGTCATCGTTTAAGCTTGAAAAAAGACTTGATGACATAACAGCGATCAATTTTAATTAACACGTTTGACGCGTGTGCAAAGAGAAATTAAACGTATACATATAATGTATAATGAAACAAATACAATGAATTTTGATGAAAGTAGGTTGGTCACGTCGTAGAATAGATCCAGCGATGTGCATAGGATCGTTACATTATTGAAAGGTGTCTCGAACGTAAAGGACGTAAAATGCTGACCGTGATTCACGAGACCTTCGTTTAAGCGTCTTAGGTCATCTTCGTACTTGGAAGAACGCTGAGTTCTACTTATCCAGAAATACGATGTTAGTCGATGAATCAAATATAGTTCAAAGTAGCTGGTAATAAAAATTATAATAAAATGAAGATGGAAACTGTGGAAACAATGTTCGGAATGAAGTGAATTCTCTCGTTAACGAACTATAGGCGTGCATACTGGCGCGTCTTCCGAAATAAACAGAGAAGACGCCGACCTACATCTCCGAATTAGTTGCACCACTCCTCGAGTAAACTACCACCGCCGCTGTCAATTATCCTATCTATCTATCAATTGAATACGAAACTCGGCGCGCCCATTGTTATACAGGATCGTTCAAGAAGTTCTAGGCAACCTTCTCGTGCGACACGAGTAATCCTAACAATTTGCTCTGACGTGGAACGTTGGATTTCATTAACCTCCGAATAAATTAGTTTCGAATATTTCTAAAATCCTGTGCTTCTCATTTGAATAGCGTCGGGTTAAAATTCGTCTACGTTCGTTTCAAAGAAAGAAATTCTGTTAGGAATTCTTGATTAGTAATCTCTGAAATGGACATGAACATTCGTTTCCTGCTCCAAGTACTGCGAATTGCATTTTACCTCGTATACTTTATTTACACATTGCTGCGCACTGTCTCTTTAAATTATTGAAATTTCCCACGAATAAAAATCCACAGTCGTGACAGACTCATAAGCTAAATAATGACTCTTCGCCAGGTTGGACTCTTGGTAACGGAGGCGATATTCATAGTTTCCGGGGAGGCTTACGCCGGCTGGAAAATAACCAGGACGAATAGGACGACGATGCATTGGATCCTCCACGCGGTCGGCCTTTCGCTGATGCTGGTCGGCTTCATTATCATCGTAGTAAATAAAGTGAACTACAACAAACAGCATTTCGCCTCGCCCCACTCGATCCTCGGCCTGGTCAGCATAATCCTCGCGCTTCTCACGGCTGCGTTTGGCATCGTGACGAACAATTCCCGGTGGCTGTACCCGCGTTTCAGGCCGGTAATGTTGAAGATCGTGCACGCATTCGGTGGCATAACGGTGATGATACTTCTGCTGGCGACCCTGCTCACGGGTACTTACACGAGATGGTGGCCCGGCGGTTACACCGGAAGGAGTTTGACGTTCACCTCCTTGTTCATCGCCGTTGTATTTTTACTGTTGAAACCGATCTTGGGCGCGGTCTCTAGGAGCAGGGTCGTCTTCGGCCCGCCACCTGCCACAACGTAATTTCGCGTGAGGACTTCTCAGGGAATCTACCTATTTTTTATGTATGTACGTACACTGAAGAGTAAAACTAATACCCTTCAGAACTGAGTAATTCTTTTAGAATCGAACGAAACGATCCGAGTTTCTTTGGGCAGTTAATTTACTACATGTCTAAAGAGAATTTTGAAGAGATTAAAATCTGCAGAAGTTATTCAGTTTTGCTCTTTACTACACGTTAAATGTTTCAATTTCTGTTCACGTCACAATTTCTACTAATTGCCTTTTTTTCCCGTAATTTAACGTGCAGTCTGAAACCAGTGAGTGAAAATCGTGGCATGAAATTGGAATACTTACTATGTATATTGTCAAAAATTTGCGACACCGGTATTTTAAATCCAACTGCCTCGGGCAAGCAGCTTTAAGCCAGAATTTAAAGAGATACATTCGAAGGAATGACACATTCTATTCTAAACTCGTTCGATAGATATATTTTATGAAAGTACGGTCAATGCAACGGGTCGTTATTTATCAGACTGCTTCCGACACGTAATTCGATAAAATCTAGTGCTTGTCACGTAATTCGATAAAATCTATCGGATCAAATCTAATGTCACACGCATTTGTCCGACTCTTAATCGATACTTCGGAGATAACAGCGTAAGAGACTCGCTTTAAATCGAATTCAGACATTCCGTCCCTCGATGATCGTAGAATTTTTACCTATAAACAGCGAACTTTTTCATACCGATTTTAAGTCTACCGTAGCATTCTCAAAGTATCTTACATATTTTTGAAACAAACATCTATACGTATCAGATGTTTTATTAAAAAGGAACAGACTTCGTCTTACCACGTGTACGTTCGTTTTACCACAGCGTGTTCATTGGCAAGGCTAACGAGATAAAAAAGAAACGAGATATATTTGTACGTAAGAGCACATGAAAAGCGCTTTTAATATCTATTTTTGTAATGAATAAGTAGCACGTATCTATAAGTAAAAGTTTACCAAAAAAGAAATGTAGAACCTAACGTTAACTTAATCATTCGTTTTGGGCGTTTAACAAGTAGACTGCAGGTTTTTATTTTTATGCAATTGTAAGAGAATGCATTTGTTGTAAATTGACTGTGAAAATGTGTGAAGTAATTCATTTAAATCTCATATTACAAAGTCACGGAAATAAGACACTCATACATTTCACAAGAAATATTATATATAAAAATGAGATTTCGAATAAAAATCCGCAGTCTATCGATAAGAAATGTATGAGGCGATTAAATAAAAGGGCAGCAAAGTTATCGTCAACCATATAATATATCAACACTTTATTAATTACACACGCATCATATACATATACATAGAATTTACATAATGTATATATTTTTCGCGAATGTATATTAAATACAGTTTCTTATTCTCGCCAGAGTTCGCTTCTCAATTTCTCTCAACTCTCTCTCCCCCCCTCTCTCTCTCTCTCTCTCTCTCTCTCTCTTCGACTTCTCCTCGTAACAGTCAACGTAGTTAGGATAAACATCTCGAATCAAACTTCCTTTGCATCACTTTAACGTTTTACAAACAACAATCACGAATATTTATTCTCACTCGGGTATTTCGCGTATCGATTTCACTTTTCTTTCTTTGCCTACTTCTTGTTTCTGCTAGCAAAATCGTGCTCGCTCTGTTTCGCTTCGTGTATTTGATTATATACTCATCTATACACTTCGAAGTGTCTCTCGCGTTAATTAAGAATTAAATTTTACTTGAAAATAAAAGAAATCTAAAATCATAGAACGTAAGAATTTCTGTACCGATTAAAAATAGAGTGCAAATTACATGGGAAATTATTTCTGATACTCAAGATTACTGACAATACAGCAGACAATTGATAATTTGACATCGTAAAAAATCTGAAGTTTCTTCGATAATTCGAATTCTACGGACAGATCTTGGGAATTGAGACACGACAATTCTCGACGAGACGTTCGATTCTGGTCTTTCTCATTTTACAAAAATCGTATCAACACGAATAAACACTATTAATCCTATCGTTTCCACGAAATATAGTTACTCTATCCTCGCTTTCGAACGCTTTCCTCTTTCACGGTTGGCTGTAGGACGCGTTACTTTGTACTGTTCGCTCTACTGGTTGCTCTTGGTGACGTAAAACACGTAACACTGCTCGCAATTATAAATCAATTTCATATCAAATTCCTTAAATGGGATATTCTTCAGAGAGCAAGGAGTCTGTGTAAAAAGTAAAAATTAAAAAAGTCGAACATAAAGTAAAAGTGTTCGACATTCATTTTGTAAGAAATCGGTAAAGAAATAAATGAACACGTACGTGCATAAATCCATAAATTGTGTGTCCGATTGTAAATAAATAAATTAATGTATGAACGAACGTATAAATTAATAAATGGATGAATTATGATGCAAATATTTTTACCAAGAAATGTTCTGTCAGAGAAAACCAAAGGGTCGTACGAGAATCATTTATTTTTTTATTACCCCATCGCGCTGTTAGGCTGTTACCGGAAATTCTACGTCACCTAATCTTAACCCTAGCTAGGACAGTCGACCACGCGGTCTGGCCGCCGGTTCGAACCGGCGCTATTATTAATTATCTAACATTATTATTAATTATCTTTATTTGCAATAACCGGAAGTTAATATTGTTGTTCTAACTTCTCTTTTTGAATGCCTGGTTTCGTTTAAATCTGCAATGTGGACTCGCCTATCTATTCTAAGGACATCAAGATCTTTTTCCTTTGGCGACGTGTTCGTCGGCGTTTTCATTTCTTTTTGTGATTACATTTCTCAACCGGTAACTTCCATCGTTCTTCGGGATTGCCTTGACAAACTTAATCTGTTGATTATGTCAGGGATATGGCTAGTTGAAATGTTTCCTCTTCTAACTCGAATATCATCTAATCTCTCCTTTTTATCGTTAAACGAAACACACACGAAACATTTGTCTACGACCTATAATCTACAGTCTACGAAAAGCAATCGCCTAAGGGTAAGTTATAAGGGTCTACTAGGTAAAGTAGTCGAACGATTGTGTACTCGTTTCGTTTGATTCTGGCATTTTGTACGTGTTCACGTAATCCTAAATAAAAAAACCGATAAAGAGGATCGATCGGTAAGACGCAGTGTTCTTCGGGATTAGATACAGTTTCATCGTCCTTCGATACAAGGCTTGTACGTCCCGATCGGAAGCTAATCCTGGGATTCGAATTTAAATATATAAGTATACTTATCATATTTTCCTCTTTCTTTGTTCAAAGCTCTGAGCATTAACAACGACTAGAATCTAAATTAATTAGGTCACCGAGGATCCATCCTGCACGGCCTTACGCGAATTAGTTAGAATCCTCATCCACTTATTTGCCCCTCGTTTTTAGAATAAAAAAATCGTAATTGAATGAACGATTGTCTGTTTAACAAAAGTCTAAGAGACATCAGGCTGTATCTAATCTGTGCTCGTAGAACGCGTTGTCGTTCGTTCGCGGAGAAATGCTAAAGCTTTGAATATTTCACGATGTAATTAAAAATACTTTAGAAGCGATGTTCGAAAGGGGAATGCGGAGGGGACAAAGAGTGAAGTTAGGCCCTGGTTCCTCTAGCCTAGGAAATAAAAATACACTTGCACACGCTTCCCTCTCTCGTTCACTCGCGCGAGAAAATATTCCCGCAACACGCGCACGGTTAATGCACACGCATCGTAATTTCGTATTTCTGCTCTGGAATTCTCAACGTGTCAGATAACAATTTTTCTTTTATACTTATATATATATTCATATATATAATATATTTATCTACCACGACTGGATTCTTCTCTTTTAATAATATATCAAACGACGACCGTGTACGTTTCTTCGTACACGCAGATACAATTATGCGACGCGTACACCAGTGTACGAGCGTCTTAAATATAATTTATAATATATATATTTATATATACTATATCTGTATATATGTAACGTGTGTATACATATGTATGTACGGGTATACGATAAATGTTACGATACGTATGGTACAGCTAACAACACTTTACGAATGGGTTCACATAAAAAATAAATCACGTTTATTGACTGTTTGTGCACCTGCGCATCTCACCTGTCCGGAGCATTGTCCAGACGTTCATCTGTACGTATCACTGGTCACGAAAACTGCACCTCCGCTCAAAAGTACGTCGACGTTTTCGAATAGGAAAATGGTCAACTGACACTGGATGTAATACGATATACAAACACATCATCATCAAATTTTCCTCTGTATATTCTAAAGGGTTTTCTCGTTAATAAAGTAATAATGATTATTACGATACATTATAAATCATTCCCCAGTTTTTGTAATTCACGGTATACGAGCTAATTCAATAATCATATAATACTTTATTTCGCGGAGCTTGTCGAATTAATTTATTTTTGCATCGAGATAAATGGAAAATAAATTTTATAAAATCTCCCACTGAAATGATTAAGGAACACAGTACGATATGACCCAAATGTACTGCACAGTAAATTTTTTACTAATATCTAAAAAAATAACGATGACCTATGACCGAAATTGTACATTCAGGATTCTTTACTATCCTTATCCCCTCACAGTCCATTCTGACATTTGGATCATATTGTAATAAAGCCTTAATTTTATTCAATTCTACGTAATTCGTATCAGACTAAGATTAAATAATTATATTTCTCATTTGCATATCTCGTATTTTAATTATCTTTTACTAACCTTGCCATTATGGCTAGCAATGTTTATTTCAGGATCACCATAATTTCATCCGAGTTCCCACAAACGATTCTCTTTTCATTTCGGACGTTACACAAGCGACAGGTTCGAAGGTGTAAACGGGTGACACGGTACATTTATAATCACGTAATTGATTACGCAAAGTGTCAGCAGGTTCCCGCATACTTTTGAGCAGCAGCGTGTGAAATCGTTGTATCGCCTCTTTTTGCTAAAATATTCCACTCGTCAGAAAATACGCGGCTATCTAACTCTCGGCTCGTTTTGTATTCACTATTTTTTTTTTTTTTTTTTATCGAAAGCACGCGGAACAGCTATCAATTTATAATTGTGATTATTCCCTGAAAAGTCTCGCGCAACCGGAAAATAGATGCATCGTGGTCAGTAACGGCAATGTCTATGGGTGGACACGGTTTATTCGTCGAAGTGCTTAATCCTGGACACTGGACCAGGGCTCCAATCGATCTGCCAACTTCAGATACAAGATTCGCTCATAAAACTTTTAAATCAGTCACGTCCTGTTTTAAGAATTTTGCATAGAAATAGCCTGTAAGAGTTCGGTTTTAATGATTATTTTATGTTCGGTTAATAAAAGTTCCGAAGGGACGCGTATTTAAAAACAGAATATAAAAGTCGGGAATTACTTTTAAATAAGGGTTATTTAGTAAATCGAATACAGGATAGAGGATTGGACAAACGGTGATTCTTATCGAATTAAATTTAACCGGAAACTGGAAAATCCCTTCGTTACAACTTCTGTTTTAAAACAGAATACTTATTTTTACTCGATTGAGATTTTTTCTACTCTCGAGAACTGATTGAAACTGTCAACAGTTTCCTTGGAGCCCCGTTTAGGGATTTCGTAGAGCTTCTACGAAACTCAGACTGTAATCAAGCGTTCGTCTAAACTTGCTTTCAATCATTACTGACTTCTTTTTAATCACGAATAATCGTTTCGATTAATACTATACTATTTTACGTTTATACGATCCCTTATATCCCTTTATACCTTACCGCATTTTCATTGACTTTACGTAAGAGTTTCAGCGTCGCTATCGTTAACAACAATTACGCGTTGATATATCTAAAAGTGAATAAGTATAAGATTCTGTTCAGTCTGCAGGGAATGGAAATGGAGATCTCGATTGAACTTCAATTAATCGGTCGGTGAGGAAAATCAATTGGAACGTTATCTAAAAAATCGTGTTTACTGCCTCACTCAGATTCGATCAGGTATAAATCCTAGGATTGAAACGGATCAAAAATGAAGTCGATCGTTTAAATAAATACTGACAATTGTTACAATTCCTCACCAGGAGGATATCAGCCTCTCTTTTAGGAAAATACGATGAGTTACGCTAACTACACTCTCCTCGAACTTTGGATGACACGGGCCGACAATGAAAGACCTTTTTCAATGAATTTCTCTTGGTCTTCTGGTTTCTATGCTGAATCCGAATTTAACAATAAAAAAACCGTATCACTCACCATTTTTTCATACTTGGTTAGTTCTTAATCGTTCAATAAAAAACCCGAATCACTCCTCGTTTTTTCATATTTCAATACTCATTATTTAAAGAAATGAAATTTTCAGCGTTAGTTGTTAGTCATTCGTGCTGAGATGTTAAACAATGGCTAGTCATAAAGCCTACGTAATAAAAAGATATTTTCATGTCTATACTTGAATAAGAATTTTGTTCATATTGTTACGTCAACTTATTCTTACTTCCATGGTATGTTTCATTAATTTTCTAGTTTATGACAAAGTCACATTGTGACGAAACTGAGTTACGGATAAAAGCTTACGTTAGACACGGATTCAGCACGATAGAAATCATAAGAATCAACTGTTAACGTTAAGAAAGATTTTAAAAAGTTATTTCTTGTTGGTCTGCGTGTAATTAAACCACGGGCCAATCTAGATAAGGATTTTCGTGACTCTTTAAAAATAATGTCCATTTCACTTCTGATCTTTTTTCTACGTCGTCATTCTACAATATTTCATATCTACTACGAACGTGTCAAGTCCGCGGTTTATCGATCACGACCTCAGACCAGTTTCCTCGTTTTTTTATCACTCTACAGTAATTCACATCCAAGCTGGATTAAACGTTCATTTTACAAATCGACAGATACCGAACTACCTGTCATAGGAATGTGTATAACTTTATAAAAGCGAAGTTCGGGTCACATATCAAAACACTGTGGAAAATGAAATACGAATAGATAGGACTGGTTGTAACCGAGGAAAGTGGAACGACACGGATTAGTGGAGTTTTGGCGAACGAGAAATCATCGCGCAGGAACATCTAAGTCGGCTGGTCGTTCGGCCCAACGCTTCATCTTACAATTAGGTGTCTTACACAGAAGCAATGTCGATCGTTCATGTGGACGATCCACCCAACGGGCGGAACAGTGTCTTAGTTCGTTCTAGATAACTTTTAGGCAGCGACAAACGTCTAACATTCTTCACTAAAGCGGGTGTACAATTATTAATCCCTCGCCTTGTTTCTCTCCGCCACAGATTTCCGTCAGTCCTTTTCGTTCTGGGCGCGTTTCGTACGTATAATTGAAACCAGTGGAGTAGCGTAAATCTTCGTAACGTTTCAACACGTGGCAACACGTTCCCTCCGATCGACGCATCTCGCACGCTCACAAGATTCGCATTCGTTTTACGCTATTCTCACTTTCTAACATCGTTTAATATCGAAAGCGTCGCTATTCAGAAACTAGGAAGGTTCCTAGAGAATCAATCGATTCCTTCGCCCGACGAAGAGAGCAACGAAACGAACGTAGAAATTGTCGAGTTGGAATGAAAAAGGGCAGAACTTGGCAATCGTAAGATTGGGATACATTTATGAAAAAATACACCGACTCTATTCCCGGTTTAGAAAAATAAATTCGTACGAATTATGTATTCACTCCTCTCCTCTCTTTCTCTCTTTCTCTCTTTCTTTCGTTTCTCGGTTTCACCGTCTCTTCATCTGCGATATGCAACTACCTGTTATTAGCGCGTTGCGTCTTTGGCCACAGATTTCTGGCCAGGCTCGTCCTTCGAGATGAAATGAACATCGTGTCAGACTTGTTGGGACGTGATCAAATCGGTTTTACTAGAATTCTTTAAGATCGACGGCCCGGGGAGCTTCTGGTTGGTGCCGGACGCGCTTGGCGGTTGGATCATCATCGGTTGACCGTTCACTAATACTATCGTGTCCCTCACTGAATCGTATCCCGCCGTCGGGCCTGCAACAGCAAAAGAAAATTCATTTTACCTTAAACAATTTAGAAATATAAGGCTTGAAACGTACAATTTACGTGTTTCCGTTTTTCACACTGTGAAAATCAAACTGTGCAGGGTGTACCAGTATTGTACAACCGTGAAGGGATTGATTTTACATGAGAAGATAAGTCGTGTGTAAAATACGGAGTGAACTTTTTTTATTTGAGACTTGCCGATAAAATCGACTTTCGATTTCCTCGGAGTAGGCGTGCACTTATGCCGTGGTTAACACTTATTACCAATTATTTGGTGACTGAGCGTTAAATCGAATTTTGTAACCGAGGCTGATGAGTCGAAAATTGCAAACGATGTTCATTAACGGATGACAACGTTCAGTCGCGCACGATCGAAGGTTAATTAAATTTATAATTACCTGGCGACGGCGTGTGGGTTAGTGTTCTCGACGGAGTCGACTGATTCCTGATTGCCGGGCCCCAGTCGGACGTGGGCTGCAACAACATTTTCGCCCGCCACCAAACGCTCTTGCTCTTGCTCTTCTTCGTTTTACCCTTGCCTGGCCCCTGGCACGACGGTCTGTTGTCAAGATCGTCGTCGTCGTCGTCGTAATCGTCGTCGTCGTAGGCGGAACGACGTCGACGATCCCTCAATTGATTCTGTAGGCGTACAACAAATATTTACTTCGCGACTGGAAGTATCGTCATAACTTAATTTAATAGATGTCAGACCATCAAAATTGTCAGACCACGTAGCGAGTGTTTTTATAAAGGTAATAAATCGTAAAAGGGAACTGACGAATCAGTTCAATCATAAAATCTAGAATTCCTTCAAGCGATCAGTTTACATGCGTAAGATCGATGGAAAAGCTTTAACGAGGTCGTAAAATTCGCCCATCATAATATAAAAATTAGTAACTGACACTGATTACGATCAGAGCCATCTTAACTAGACGCGAACTCACTGTTTACCGAAAGGTAGACAAAATTTTATTCGAATTCCCGGCCACAAAAACCTGGAGATTCTCAGCAGTCAGAAATTTCCACATTTACGATGAAAGCTATCAGAATTTTTAGAATTCTCTTCACAGCGAGCATTCGAACTTTCGAGGACGAGCATTCACGAGGACACCAAGTATATTTATTGACCCGCCTCGAGAACTACGTCCTACTCGAAACATCGTTTTGATAGCTAATTTGTAATGATTCTGAATCTGGGTAAACCGAATTTTACGACACCTCACCAAAGCTCTTCCATCGACTTCGGCCTTGTGATACTCACGAGAGCCACGCCTACAATCACTGCGACGGGTATCATGCCTACGACCCAACCAGCGATGTCCGCCCATTTCGGATAAACGTAATCGCCGTAGGTGAGCGGCTCGTACTCGACCCAGTTGAAGAACAGAATGAAGAAGAGAGTCGCCGGCGTGATCACTTTCCACATCCAGGTCCAAAAGAATCTCCACAGACGGCTGCGAGGACCGATCATCTGCTGGACGTCGTCGAGGAATCGATCAGCACCGTAGATCCACGCGACCAGAATACACTCCCCTATTGCTATCAGCAGCACCGACCAATTCGCCGCGTATTTGTCCATCAGTTGCAACCAATACATTCCAGCCTGAGTACACAACGAGATCGATACAATATTGACGAGTGATCGCGATTACATGTACTCCAAACTAACGCATTCGAACATCAGTAGAAAAGGAATACGAAATGAATGAATGCACTGATTTTATCAAAACACCTGTGACAATTCGCTGTATGAAATTATTAAATGAGTTTATATTTTAACAAATTCAGTTGTACCTTTGTCAGACTTTATAATGAGATCAATGATCGGCTAACAGGTCTCACTGATCGGTCCTGTATAGTAGATGTACATTGGAACAGCAACAGGAAAGAAATTGGAAGAATTCCAGTATTGATTCAAGTCCCTGTACTCACGTTGGTAGTGAAGATGATTCCCCCGGCGTAACCGAACACGGCCGCAGACAGCACGACCAACAGTTTATAGTGTCGTAGTGCCGGGAACGCGTCGAGTATCGCGGTGGTCACGGTTTCCATCAAAGCGAATTGGGAATCGAGGCCCAACGTGAGGAGCATCACGAAAAACAGCAGCGACCAAACGGGAGCAACCGGCAGACGAGACACCACCTATTTTTCGCGTGTGAACGATATCAGATTGATGAGTAGACGAAACGTATCGATCATTATTATACGAAACGTTTAATCAAATACCGAGTGAAACAATTATTATACGAAATATATTAATACTTTTTATTTATTTGTTATGTTGATTTTGAATTTAACAATTGCATGAGACCATCGATAATCTTCCAAACAAAGGAGACGTAAGGCTCTCATTCTAATGAGTCATGATAAATCAAGTGAATTGGGATACATTTATAATACGTAAGAATTTATGTTGAACTTTCTCGATGGCCTGTATGCGAGTCGTGTAGTATGGAGATCAGACCGCGGAGCAATATGAAGTTGATTTAACGAGAGATGAATAAATGACTTTGGATTCTTGCTTACACGATAGAAATGAGTTGACCATTGAACGAACCTCGGGATAAACGATGAAGGCCAGCCCGGCACCCTGGTCGACAACGGAGGCGACCGGGACTTTGAGTTCGTGAGCCAGGAATCCGATCACAGAGAAAATGACGAAACCCGCGAAGAAGGAGGTGCCGATGTTGCTAACGGCTACTATCAGCGAGTCCTTGTAGCAGTTGTTCCTGAACTTGTTGTACGAGCTGAGCGTTATCAGGCCGCCCCAGGCCGGGCTGAGGGCGAAGAATATCTGGACCGCGGCGTCGCCCCACACTTTCGCGGACATTAGTCTCTTCCAGTCGGGCGTTAGGTAAAATACGACCCCTTCGCTGGCACCGGGGAGGAGGATGCCCCGAATAAAAAGAGCGATCTGCGAGCCAGACCGTGATTATACTTAATAAAATCTCTCCTTACATTATTTTGTTCTATTACTCTTTAAAAATGGTGTACGTAACTAATATAATAATAATAATATTCCTGGAAAAGTGAGCTCTGGAGAGACATGAAATCAACCTGAGTCAAGTTTTCTTTTTGATTATATATACTAGTAAAATAAATTCAACTAAGCCAATCATACTACGTTGACTAAAGTTCAGAAAGCAGTGAAATCGTACCGAACCGTGATTTCCTTTCGTAGTCTCGACTTCTCATATTGCGAGTTATTCGATACGAGAATCGAGGAAGAAGTATAAATCATCAAAGAATTCATTGTACAGTGTATCTCGGTGTCGACGGTACAACTGTTGAGAGAGTGATTGTACATGAAATTATCATCGTGAAATTATTTTTTCGTATAATCACCTCCTCCACGGTTGTACCATATTAATACTGAGACACTCTTACATGGACGAATAATTTTAATTGAACGAAGATGAGAAGTTGGAAAATAAGGAAAAGACGACAACTTACCAGGACGACGTATGGGAAGAGAGCGGTGAAGTAGACGACCTTTCCCGAACTTTGAACACCTTTGCTCAAACAGAGGAAAACGATGATCCAAGCCAACAGAAGACACACCGCCAGCGAGGGTCGAATCGCCCCCGTCTCCTCGATTCCGCTACTTATTCCCAGCACGTGATTGCTACACGATACGTCATCATGATTTTCGTATTAAGAAAAGGTCTTAAAATTCTGAATTTAATATCCATTACGCAATAAAAAAGAAGATAAACTCGATATTTAACACAGAAATAATTACTTGAAATATTCTTCGGCCGGTGGTTTTTTAATCGCATTGGTGATGTTCTCAATGGTCAGACCCATCGAAGCCATCTGGGTGGAATTTAAGCATTTCTCTTTGTAATAGCTCATGTTCAGAGCCCAGCACGCCTCGGCATCTTCCGGCATGAAGCAGTCCTCCGTGCTCCAGGCTGGTTCGCATTTACTCCATGGCAGTTCACCACCGCCTAAGCATTTATTTCTCGATTAAAGGAACGTGTTTGCAATGCATGCGAGTCCTCAACAAAAATTTCAATCACCAAGCAATTTCTATGTGCTACACATTCTGTAGAAACACATTTTTGTCCTTCCAAATTAAACATGAATATAAGTTGCTTGAAAATTTTATAATGACCACAGTGCTACTTTTTAAACAATTAAAGACTGCGACAGAGACATTATGAATTTATTATATCATCGCGTTGTCCATCGATGCTCGAAACGTATGCCGTAAGCCGTGAGCTGTTCCTGCTGCTCGTCGTCGAACGAATCGATAATTGGAGATTTGCGAAATCGGATTTTCAGGTTCTTTCATAAAACCGAATTGGACGATTAAACATGGCTATAATTAGACCGCGGATTTTACGAAACACGAAACATTTGGGCCAACCAATTAAAAGCAATGAATTCTAATTAGAAATATTTGTCACCATATTTTGATAACTGCAGATATTTTGCAATATGTGCTCGCTTTTAATGTTTTCGATGTTCTTGTGCATCACGTCCACCGTTTGCATATTCAGTTACCTTATAAATGCATGCAATCCGCGATTTAATTTTAAGTTCAATCTGTTATTAACATCGAATAAAACGAATTGTGTTAGGAAAAAGTCCTTTCAGAAATAAGGGAATAGAATTGGAATTTTCTTCAATAGTTCGCAGATCTTTTATTGAATTATACTTGAATTTTCAAAAATGAGATCATTTCGCCTTTCCGTATATTATTGGCCAGCAATAATAAACGACGCAACAGTCTTAAACGTGTTAAGGCAGTCTTGCAAATGTATCATCGTTTGATGAAAATGCGTTCACTCACCAGCCACCGAAGCGAAGATGTAGTAAAGAGTCCAGGCGATGATCAAATTGTAATACAGCATCACCACGGAGCTGACCAACACCATTCCGTATCCCAGGCCGCGAAGGAGAGGGCAGAAGCGTTTGTAAGCTGCCACTGGGCCAAGACTCGCGTACTGCCCTGAGGGACAGATAGGGTCGCAATAGAGAATGGAGAGGCGAAAAGAAAAGCGGACGAATAAAACTGATCGATAAACCTGTCTGACGCGACGTACTATCTCCGATTCAGCGTCGAAACGCGAGAGCCCTGCTCGACTCGAACTCTGGCTACCCGAATCTCAAATCTGACATTTTACACCTTCCTTTCTGTTCGTTCCAATTTTGTAATAGGAATTAGAGTTAGAGTCTTGTTCACGATCGTATAAAATCTCGTCCAATATTTGCTCCGTACGACAGAGTGGTAATTTAAAAGAGAAAAGAGGCAGTGACGATTATTCACTGCTCGGGTCTCGAATGTAGTTGCGTCCACGCGGTGAGACCTGGGTTGACAGCGTTTCCAAAGTCTAATCTTTGGAAACGATACCAAGCGAAGGACTACAATTTAGAATGAGCATCTTAAATTGTATATAGATTTTTCGTTAATTTAATGTATGTGTTAATAAACGTCAAGATGAATTGAGGAAAATATGTGATTCCATCCTGCTGGAATTTTATCAATAAATCATCTTATGTCTGTTATTGTTATTTCTGTTACTACATTTTTACTGTATTCTTTGTATTGTATTATAATGGCCTCTGCCCGTGAAATAAAATAGTAATAATAATAATTGAATGGAAACAAATAATGGTATTTTTATTTCACGGTCCTTTACCAAATTGAATCGATAATAACCGAAATCAATATTTCATACGTATTACTTTAAATACGCTTCAGGATTACAGAATTGATCATTATCTACAGGTACAAGAATACGTGAGAGCTCCTTTTGGTTATCATCGATTCGGTGGGTCTACCGTCAAAAACCGCACCGCCTGAACGGGATATAAGCCCCTGTAAGTAGAAGTGATCGTTCATTGATCGTTCTATTTTAGTGAATCAACAAATGTGGACACGCTTCACCTTGAACGAGTATACTCGCGCCGATAGAAACGGCATTCTTATACCCATCTATATATAGAACAAGCGGCTATCTATTTCTGATCTCACCCCCTTCTACGTTAGGATCGCTAAGAAACTTGTTTTATTCTTCTTTAATTTCGAATTTCCTGGTCGAAGATCACGTTTCGCGAAAGTTTCAAATACTGTTATTCTCGTAAAACGTTAACCGCTTACCTAACGAGAGTTCCATGAACATGAGAGGCAGGCCGGCGATGATGAGCATCACCGTGAACGGTATGAGAAAGGCTCCCCCTCCGTTCGAGTAGCACAGGTATGGGAATCGCCAGACGTTGCCGAGACCGACGCTGTATCCCAGAAGAGACAACAGGAAGTCGAATTTCCCCGTCCATGTGCCACGCTCCGGGTGTTCCTCCTCGCCTGTCTGCAACGGCGCTTGGCTGTTCGCCACCGAGTACTTGTCTTCGTTCTGCTGCAAATAGTACGCAACCCCTTTTACTTTGTTCCGTTCTACGATCGCATACGACCAGACTCCCATTCACGAGTCACCGGCCAGTCAGTAGGACAGAATGAAGAAAACAAACTTGTAACATTTGTGAAACAATGAAGCACATAAACACTTAATCTTAGGAATGCATTCGTCGAAAAGTTAATTAGCATTCAATATTGACAGACGTAAAGTGATATACGAGTGCCAATATCTTCAGCAGTTTTGAGTAAAGGTTTCCCGAAGAAAGAGTTTGGCCTAAATAATTCTTAATCGATCAACTTTACTTAAAGTATTTTTGTACGAATTTCATTCTCGACAAATCTCTTTCCGCGTTTCGATAAATTGGAATTGATTCATTCAAAACTATGTAATCCGATGCTGCGGTAGATTATTGACACCGGATCTTACCAAGGAAGGTCAAAATAACTTGTTTGACATTTCTTATAATCATTATTCATTTTCAGTACATTTTGTTCTCTAAAATTTTGTACAACTCCTTCTAAAGTATCCAAGAAAATAATTCTGTAAAACAGTTTTCCTTTTTTTTTTGCCTTTCTTATTATGAATTTGCTATTCTTGAATCTTGTACAGATTTATGTCTATAAACGATTTTATTCTAAAAACTGACTGGTAATTTTATAAAGAAGAGTACAGTAGATCACTGAGGTGAACAATTCCCATCTATACAATAGAATAGAGGAGCAATGTCTCTTTGTCGAAAGATAATCTTTATAAATGTCTCACTCTGACTGTTGACCTAGGAGAGAGTTATCAATTTGAGTTACACGTATTATATCGAACTCGCACGTTTAGGTCGAGAGAAATCGAAGAAAAATACTGAAGCGTTACGCGGCAGTAACGTAAGTGCTTGACTTCGTTCGTGGCGCACGTCTGAAGAGAAATTGTAACGTCGTCGATTGAATTAAGTCAGATTGTAACATAGTTCTCGGTTAAAACTGACAACGATTCGAGTACAAGTTTTTAACCACGTTTGTCAATTTAATTTCCCTATTAAAAATTCGTAATCGACGTTCGTTTAAAGTTGAAAGTGAAATATTAAGAAAAGGGATTTCACGTGTAACGTGTATTACTAGAAATATCGCTGAAGAGATTCGTAGAAGAGTTCAACTAATTCGACGAACTTTCTTTACGGAAGCAACGTAGGACAATAGTGTGTAATGAATAACGACGACCATTGGGAAATCAGCACGAGCAAATTGCCGTTTTCAAGTCGAGTGCCGTCTACTGACGAATGAACCTCGAATAGATTCTAAATTCTCGATTATTTCGCGAGACACGCGTGCCGGATGCATCGTGAACTCATTAAGTATTGTACAACTACATAGTATATCACACTTGAAAGCCTATGTACACTGACCTCAACAGATTTTGGACTAAGTTTGTAAGGTATACCTAAAAACTGTGGCACGTCCATTCTATGTTTTCTGTATACTTCGTTTAATATACCAAAGGTGTTTTAGGTATACTTTACAAAGACGGTCCGAAGTCCCTCGGGGCCACTGCAGATCTACAAATGTGTTGAAGAACGTTAACGTACAGAAGTTACGTTTCCCATTCTACTGAATTCTAATCGATCAGCAAGTTTAATACTCGTCGAAGACGGATGTTCGTTAAAGTTCTTCTGGCTACGAGTTAAAACAGTGACACGTGCTTGACCTTTTGCAAATAAATAGTTATTGTGACGTTGAACTCGGACGCAATGCATATGGAAGGAATCGAGAACTCGCTTCGGAGTAATATCAGTTTGAAATTAACATACATATGTTCTTATGAGATTTAATGAAATAAAGTTCCGTTGCGTTAGAGAGAAAAACTAAGGTAAAAGTTGAGAGGCTTTGGAAATTTTATACAATAATAGCTAAACCACGTTGGGAACATGTTCATAGATTAAAATTATGAGAAAACAGGAGTTAATCGACTTTCGTAATCGTTTTATTGTATTCCGGGTGAAATGAATCCATGCTTTACAGCAAAATCAGAGAACACGTGTAACATTTTATACAGATCGTATAATCGGAACGACTTTGAATAGATATAGACTTTCTTTCGAAATTGCGAAAGCTAAAAGTATACAATGTGCTAAACGCAAAACGTGATACTCGTGACAAAAGCGAATTTTTTTCAAAAAAACTTTATTGTGAAAACGCGTAATGGTCGGAGCGGAGCAATTCTATGAAAGCTGGCGGAACAAGGCTCGTTTTTTCCGCTCAATAGAATATTCGAATCTCTTTTGTTTAACATGTTTTAGTGGCCTTCGGCATTTCGTGTTTACAAAAATGCAACGAGCGGCATGGTCGCAATTGATCCCGAGGGAAAATGACCCGTGTTTCCGTTCGAGGTGAGCCATCCCGATAAAATTGCAATAAACGATGAACGATGACATTTTGAAATTGTTAGTCGTGATAAATCTGAAATCCTTGACGTCGATGTTGTGACGCCGCGATATTGGAAACGATGAAACGTTTTCGTTGCCCAAGTACACAGTAGATTTCTACGTAATTCGCAAAATAAATGGCGTATGATAGTGACGTAAAAAAAAGAAGATCGATCAAGTTGGAAATAACGAGAGCATCCAATATTTAGAAGCAGACATTCCAATCGGCGATGGGTACACCTTTACGATTCATTGCATACCTTCTTTCGTAATTCCATTTAAGCGGATCCGTTGCCAGTTCTGTCTTTCCCACGTCTCTGCATGCGTCATTTGATGAATTAGTGACACCGTTTCATAGCTCGCACGTTTTTACGTCTTTAATATGAAGTCTCGATGGCTCTCGTTGACACAAGGAAAAAAAATACCCTTCCTCGGTTCACATCAATTATTAAAGACTCCGATTTGATTATGACGCGATTTAAGAGTATTGCGTGTCATCGCTTTGAATCTGGATCGCTCGCCTCTAATTATTTATTATTAATACATCCTTTGCTAGTTAACGCTTACTCATTTCTCGCGGCGCAGTTATCCAACCTGTTAACAATTTTAATTAACTACCTCGTCACGGAGATTTCATTTTCTTCGACCTCGCACGTGATACGCTTCTCATATATTCTCGCTCTCAAGGACTGCTTTAATAACTTCTCACGTTCAGCTCGTCGCAGAGATCCTTTCGGGAAATACTCGTTTTCTACATGAAAATAGTAGCAAAGGAATCAGTTCAAACAGATTTTAATCGGCTCAGAAAGGAGACGTCATACGATTCAGTTCGGTCTCTTTGCTAATTAATCCCTTTCACTCAGAGCCTGCTCCGCGAACGAGCCAACAATTAATCCGAGAAAGATCTCCACGGTCCATCCCACGTTTGTGTCTATTGGGTAATTGGGTTCGCGTTTCGAGGCTTCTGCTTCCCTAGTTTCATTAAAAAAATGCATGCTTCACCTTTTCCTACCAATGATATAAATTAAAATGTATTACAATTTTTGCGAAACGAAACATTTATTTATTTATTTATTTATTATAACACAGACGAAGATCGAGGTGGTAATATCTGGCGAACCATCCTCTACCCATGTGTGATAAGATTCAGGGTGTTCAGCATAAATTCTATTTCTTTTCTCTTCTATTTTGACTAAACTCCCATAAACTACTTTGATCATGACTATACCTCGATTATGCTGAAATTCGGCATAGTTATGCTTGATAACAGAAGGACGATCTTTGAATTAATCTTTTTCACTAAAACTAATAAATCACAAAACTGACACTTCACTTCACTTCTCTTCTTCTCAAATCAAGCTCACTGCCCCCTCGCGTACTCTCCTAATAGCACCTTTTATTCTGACAGATTCACCTCTCGATTTGGTCACTCGATGATGTCGTAAGTAAAAGTAAGATTGTGTTTACGAGTGTGAACTATGATACTCCATAAGCCATAGAACGACGCATTAGGTCTTTAAACATCTCGACTGACCGAAACATTTGATATTATTTCACACGCTCTCTGATCCCTCGGTAAATGTTCATAGACAAACGTAAAAAGTAAGGATTAGAATTGAAACGATGAACCAGTGGGTTGTTTCAACTCGGTCGAGAGGCAGCCTTGGAACTCGGTCGGTTTACGCGAATCGATTAAAGCCCGAGGAGCATTCAAGGAAATTTCATTTTCGAGATGGATTCCGGGCTCTCCCGACGCGCGGCGTCATCGATTTCACCCCGAGACCCTCGCGAAAATATTAAAGCCTCCGATATTCGGGTTCGAACGAAAATTCTAACTCCGAACCGATGCGAAACGTTAGGTACGCTGCCGTAACATTCAAGACTATCTGTAACGGTTGATCTAGTGTTTCATAAAATAATTGACGTAATAATTCTAAATGTAATAGCAAATCTAATATAAAATCGCGTTGGTAAGATGTTCAGTGAAACATGTTTCCTAGGGCAGTAGGAGTACGTAAACCTGAATAAAATTCGTTAACGATTAGATCACTCGTTTTATTGTGACGAGGGAAGCAGATTCTTTCGAACGAAGGTGTATATCAATGTCGCGACCGAATTCTTTCCTGTTTCGCGCTTCGTCGAATCGGATCGAACAGCTTTAGTTGCCGAACCGAATATTTCTTTTTTATTGCTGAATATGTCGCGATTCCGCCATGTGTATCGCGTGGAACAAGTTTTAAATTAGTCGCTTCTATCTCTTCGAGGCACGCGATTTTAAAGAAAAAAGAAACCAAAGTTCCAAGTTGTTTTTTAAGTAACTTTATAGAAAACGTGATAAAAATATTACATTAAACTACACGATTATGAGTAACTTTTCGAGGTGGGTTAAAATATACATTTTTCATTTTTCCAAAGGAAATTGTTGTTCACTATGACCCTCCCAATCTGTAATTTTCGGCTCTAACACTTCTTCTGGGACATCCTGTATATACCATCGTGCATGGAAAGCTGAGCAAAAGATGGGACAATTTTTTACCCACCCAACCGCAAAGACTTGAAAGGTAACGTCCGTCACGTTCAGTTTAAAGGTAAAGTCATTTTTGGTAGAATTTTTTACATAATTTATAATGTCACCCTCGCTCACGGATCATTTTCACTGAAAGCTCATCATGTCCTTGTTCTGCACTGTAATGAACATTTTTTTATACACCGCATAAAAAGAGTCGTGATAAAAAGGTCCGCGGAAACACAGTTTTAAGTGTGCGTAGACATAATTTATTTAAATCAGATTTTTATTATGCATTTACGACAACCACTGTGTTTTTAATAGACCCGTTTCAAAGGTAGTCGACGAATTATGAAAGAGAAACGAGATTTTGCTCGAGAGAAACGAGAGTCGAAGGGCAGCTTGACGGGCAAAGTTGCGACCGCTTGCGGAACGGTGTAATTTCAAAGGGAAAACCAGGGAGGAACGACGGCGTCTGGCGGGTGGAGGGCCGCTCGAGTGTTGCGTAGAACGGAGAAGTGGACCCCTCCTTCAAATGACCCGCGATCGCTCGAGGGAAACAGCTTCGCGCTTTCCTATTTCCTATGTAGACGGTAGTTGGACGCAAGCGCAATTTCCATAATTCTCGGTTAAAACGGAAAAAGATCCTCGACAATGACGCCTGTCCTCGCTCATTGTCAGCTTCTTCCGCCGATCTTTTCACTCAGTGAACGTTTAACCTTCGCTTTTGATAAATTCATTGATATTTTCTCAATAATTTTAATGCGCAATTAACTGATAATCTTTTTGTGCAAGATAGTAGTAAATTATAGATTGCTTCCATTGCTTTTCTGCTAGGATACATTGGCCAAAAACCAAAATCATTATACAATACAAATCAAAAAAATACTTCCTAAACGCAAAACAAAACTTAATCGCTAAAAATTATGTTAACAAAGTTTCAATTTGAATAGAGAAAGAGAGTTTTAGCAAACAAATATTAATACTGAAACTGATGAATCGGTTCGTCTAAGAATGATCACATTTGAAACTGATAAATGATTCATTTCATGATTTATAAAGATCCACTTACGTCCCAGCATTCCAGATAGGTCCTTGGCGAGGGCTCCTCCATCCTCGAATCTGGCACCAAACTCTCTACCAAGTCAGGTGAATCCTCTCCTCTTCACGTTCTGCGAACGTCCGGTAATTCGCTACCGCGTCTGTTCCTGATCCACCGCTGTCCATTGTTAACCCAACTTCTGTATATATCGGCGGCCTACCTTCCCCTTCTAAGGACACACAAAACGGACCTCTCAACAACGCTCGTATAAACCTTATGTTCTTTCAGTTCCATTTTCCATTTAAATATTCTTCCATTTGGTACAGTCTCTAATAATAATGCGACATTTCAGTAGTCAATGTTATTAACAATAAAATTGTAAAGCCATCAACTGTTTTTCAATTTAACTTTTAAATACAATTAATCTCGTGTCAGTCGTGTTGACCAATTTTTAAGAACACGTGGATAATAAAATCTTTAAGACTCCTAATATACCAGATTACGAATAGGGAAATAAGGAAATGTTAGTCGTGTATAAATCGTATTTCAAAATATTTTGTCTAACCACAGCAAAGGAAGATGGACCTCGTAATGAAAACTGAATATTTGCATATGTACGCGCCAAGTGGACCGGGGATCGTCCTGGGGAGCTGTACATCGTGAACAGTGTAAACTTGCGAAGAGCGTGATGGCACAATTATTTGTGGCGGTACGAGGGTAATGTATAATGAGACTGCTCGAGTCGCAATTAACGGAGAGAAAAGGGAATGATGGAAACGGTGGGCGGACTAGGAATTAGAACATAATATACGGCGCTTACCGAACTGTCAGTTACAAAACGGCCACCACGCCGTTATGCAGCGGAAGGAGTAGCTATGTTATCGCGTGACCATGTGTCTGTTGCCAACTTAATTACCGTAATTAAGACGCGGACAGTTATTGTTTTGACAGAGTGTGATCGCATCCACAGCAAGATACACTGTGCTCTACCTGTGGCCGATCAGTTCGTCAATTATTTTAACGAATTATTCTTTGACGAATATTTCAAATTGAAAAACGTCAAGAAATCAAAAGCAGAAGGCATTAAGATAAATCTTATTCGAATGAACGCTTGGACAGTTTCACTGTTGTACTCACAGCCACTGGTTTGCTACCAGCCAACGGAACGGCCCGTAACGTCCCCAGGAAAGTTGAACTCTTAAAGATCGAGCGAACGACGTTGCGTCGTGAAAAACAGAGAGGTAATTGGGATTAATCGAGGGATAAGAATCTCGCTTAGTACGCGATCCCGAATGCCTCGATGGATCAACGACGACGCAGCTTAAAGCGCGAGGGGATGACACAACAAATCGATCTCATTTACAATATCCGTCACACGTGAGATGTTTAAACGTTAACCGTCAGCTATTAACCTTGAACCTGACTCGTCACTTTTGTCTTCAATCCGTCCCCTTGGCGAGTGCGCGAGCACTCGTATCAAAAGACTTTTCAGAATTAAACAAACAATTGTTCACTATTGCGCGGGAGGATGCGGGATACTTGATCATTGATTTAAATAATCATATTTTATCTAAAGAGGAATTAATTTGAATATAAAATCGTGTTCTAATTGATGGACGAGAGACATTTTAATTAAACGACACACGATCTCATGTCGATGGTTAATCTTATTTGAATCAGCAAAACATGGACGATGATATTGTGCAGAAATATTTTTAAACAGTCCGACAAATATTTTTAAACGGCATCCCCTTGTTCTCGGAATAAACGGGAACTCGAGCGCATTTTAATGCCACAACGACGTTATAGCACGTACTCGTTTTTAAACCTTAAATGTCAGTCGACCACAGTGACAGTTCACCTTCCTCGCCCAAAGACTTACGGTCTTTCAATAGACCAGAGCCCTACAAACGCAATGCATTCCACTCCGGCGAAAAATTTCATGGCGTACACGCCAACTTCCTATGATCGAGCACGAATCGCGGTCGAAACTATGTCTGTGGAATTTTGCGCGAGGTAACGAGAAAGCAAGCGAGTGAACTCCTGGGTAATTGCCAAAAAATAAGGCACTTATTTTCCAAGAAAGTTTCCGGTGGTAAAAATAGAATCTGGTCATAGAGAAAGTGATTTAAATACAGTAGATTGTACAACAAGTCCCGAGAATGGACTTTTCTAAGCGATTCTGAAAAAGCCCATTCGCCCCACGTCTTTCACCGAATTTTTTATAAAAATGCATAAAGAAGACCATTTTTCGTCGTCTACAAAGTGGATCGAAGATATAGTTTTTCAAGTCGTCCACTTAAGTATATAACATATTACACATAAATATGTATATGTATGCAAGCATGTACACGATTTGTATAGCAAGCGTACATACGATATCTATAGCAAGCATAGATATGTAGGAGTAAAGATACTAATTTTAGCCTAAGGCTGAAAATGAGATTTTAGACCCATTAGGGCCTAAGTCTTCCGGCCCTAACGCCCAAAATGCCATTTTCAGTCCACTTTATCTCTCACGCTAGCAAAACTCTATTTTCGCTCCACTTTACAAACACCGAAAATTTCACATCTTAAGAAACGAAACGTTTCCCCCTGAATCGTGGAATTTCACCGATCCAGCGTGAGCCGACTCGTTACGTAACTAAAAGTGTAACGTCTCTGAAGGTTCAACCAGGAATCGACCCTTCTCGGTATCAGAAGTCGGTCTACCATTGAGAATCATCGTTCCGATACGCTCTTGGCTTGTAACGTCTGTGAAAACATGAGGTCGTTTAAGAAGCAGCGCGTAGACGAGACGATACGGCGAGGGTGCATAGTTATCGCTCAGCCGGGTAGACGCGAGTCTCGTTCGGCCGGTGGTTAGCCGCAATATGCATACGACACAACCGTGGAAAGAGTACACGAAACAAGGTCATAGACACGCACCTGATTACGTTCGGTGACGTAATCCCGAAGTCGGGACACGTTCTCCGCAAGCGAAAGTACAGAATCACACGGTCCACTTGGTACACGCGACTGTCGATCAGCTGGCGCGTTGCTCGCGCCGCTGCCATTGGAGAACTCGGCTGGCCAAGGTCAGAGACACGCACTGTCACTGGTCCTCAAGGTCGCGAGGATCGCGTGCACGACCGAAATCGAGACCGAGTGCCGCGAGAGGTTGGTCTCGGTTAGGATGACGACGACGAGCCTCTGCTGTCGCGCCGCGTCCAATTCATTCTACTCTACTGGCGAGCGATGCGTTCGGTGCCGAGGGTCGAGACCGTTTGCGCGCCGCGCGATAAAATCGAAGTGGTAGAAAAGAGAAGGAGGAGGAGGTGGAGGCAGAGGCGGTGATACGACGGACGCGCGCGAGGAGACGAGACGAGACGAGGCGAAACGGACGGACGGACGGACAGTGGAAACGGTTCGTGCCCGGGCAACCAGCCAGCCAGCCTGCCAGCCTGCCTGCCTGCCTGCTTATGGGAGAGCTTTTCTACTCGCAGCACCCCCAGTCGACCCTGTCGAGCCTCGAACTCGCCGGATCGATCGATATTCCTGCTCCTGCGAGCTGCGTCCTACCTACCCTAAACCTTGCACTCTCTCTCCGCTTTACCAACTAATATCTAATACCATCTCCGGCTTCGGTGTCTAGCCGACACCTTCTCGCGTGTATAACAATGTCAACCCGTTCGCATCGTACTTGGTCACCCGCAAACGTCGTGATAAAAAACCGATACGTAACGGCGGAGAGTCTCGTTCAATCATTTTCACGTACAGATCGACGCAACCTTTCCTATGACGCAACGATTGACGTAATAATCGTTACCACGTTTCATACGTTTAATTTATATGTACGTGTTAATGACGGAAATGGGTGAACTTCCGGACCGCGCTCGACCTTCCGCCTAATTCATAAACGAAGTCGCTTGTCCATGTACGTACATACACACGAGAGGTCTCCCGTCTTTCACCACTTTCTCGGAATCTCATTCGGGCGGTCGCGCGTAATTGCTCGATGCTTCGACTCTCCCCTTTGTTCCTATTCATGGACGATTCAGTCCTTCTTTCCTAATTACTCAATTGTCTATAAAAAGAAAATAAGTGGAAATAACGACCACTTTTGTTTCAGTATTAGGTGAACGTCAAGTATCGTCAAACTTAACTTCTGTAGAATTCTACTTTGTTCTTCTATCTATCAGATTAACTTAATTTTATATAGAAATAATTTTATTATTCCAAGTATACTAAATGTTCGGTGTTGATGCCTGTACATTTTTCACTGATATCCAACTCGTTTTCATTAACTTTTATACCCTGGCAAAGTATAGTATCTCAAAAATACGATTGCACGCGAAGCATAAACTGGTCGTATCCGTACGAGCACAACCTAGTACGAATGATAATAGTTTCCCGTGACGAGACATATCATTGAATTCGATTCGTATCGATGTCGATGTCTGCCCTCCAATACGAGGGACAAAGAATTTTGTACCCGCGTCACGATGACTACTTCTATCACGCGTAGTACCGCGACTAAACGAACAGGGGTGGACCGGGGGTTGACCGGGAGTGAGCGGAGAGCGGAGTGCGAGAAGGTGATCGATGAACAGAGAGATAGGTCGGTAGCAAATAATAAAGTGCAACAAGCACGACTACGTAGAAGCAAGTATGAAGGACGTGATGAATGTGAGAGATTAACACTATCAGAAAGAAGGGTGCGAGCTGCCTGCAGGATGCACTGTGGATGTGCAAGATGTTATGAAAATGCATTTTATGAGCGTGGGACTTAAGTTAAATTACGTATGCCTTAGTTTCATGTTATACGTACAAGAAATATGTTAGTTGAGAATGACGTGGCACAGCTCAGGAGAAGGATTCTCTATCCGTTTTTAATTGCGTCAGTTTCGCCTATGGAGACGGGACCCGAAAACAGTAATAAATCGAAAACACGAATAAATTATCAATTCTAATGAGTACTGAGGCTAGGTGATTAACTGGTGTTGCTCGTTCTTATTCAAACCTTGGCAGGTTGTAAAAGAAAAATCATATATACATAAATAACGTTGCACTTTAAGTAACAAGAATTCATTCAGCTGAAGTTTAATATCAACTAGAATTACAATTATTATATTATTATTATTATTATTATTTGAACGCCTGCTTATAAACTATAGTTTTTTTGTCCAGCCGAGCGTAAGAGCAAACTAGGAGAGCCCACGCTTACGAAACTTTGTACGTGCATTACAACTTAACTCTGCAAACCAACGTTTCAAATTTCTGTCGGAGATTTTCAGTGATCTCTTACGTTTCTACCTAAGAAAAATTTGTATCCTCTTGACAGACCACATAGTAAACTACGTCTTCTAACGTCCCACGAAAAATTATGTTGCTTGGTCCAATATTAAAAAAGTTGTCCCTTTCGAGACACGTATTGTCTTCGTAACCCCCTGTATAATAAATATATTACTATGTCTCAGTGAATTCGTTAAAAGTATACGGGCATATTTTCATACGTAATTACCTCATTGACTATTCATTACTTTTACTTTGAAACACTTTCCCGTGAACTCCCGTGCCTAGTAGACATTAGAAATTTTTGAAGGAGACACGTCCTAGATAACTGTTATCCAGTCGAGGGGGATGGAGACGGTCACGCGAGTGTTAAACTGGTGGACGGGACAAGGAACGGTCGAGGAGAGAGTCTTGCGACGGCGTTCCGTGGGCGTAGGTGTGGGGTTCGCATTGTTTCGTGCCGACGACGACGCCTGTTAGCGCGTCGTCATTCACCGTCATATCCTCGACGTTCCTTCTTTCCGTCGTCACGATGGCAGTCAGATGCCGTTTGCAATATCCGGACCCCGGAGGATCGAATATTGGTGGGAGTGGCGAAATATCCGCAGTTTATTCGCAATACGGCAGAGGAATAGCTTTTATGCCTATCCGGGATGACTCCGGTGCCTCTCATCGGGTAAACTATTGGACATTCATGCTTTTCATACTCTAGTTCTTTGTGCTCTTATCTCCAGATTCCTGATTATTAGACTGCAGATTTTTATGCAACATCATATTTCCTGAAACAGATTCTGAGGAATCGAATTCATTTATACTGACGTTCCAATCTCATAGGTTCACAATGTGAGATTTACATCGACCGTTTTATGTATTTTTGTAGATTCAATAGGTACATTTCCTTACATGCAAATTTTCAGTAATTGCGTAAAAAACCGCAGTCTCATGATATAAAATTTTTATAATATAGTTTCAGTCTGAAAAGTGAGATAGAAACGGTTTCCTTTAAACGCTATGGCATGGATTTGCAAGTAGATGGTTTAATTTATGACTTCTTATGATCTCTCGATGAAAAGTAATTCGAATCTTTTTTGACCTGGACATTTGTCACATCTTCTGACAGATGAAAACTAATCGGTGTCCTGATACTTATGAACAGAGGTGTAGACTACACGATCAACGGTGAATCTCATTTCTCGGAAACCACGGGGTTACGGGGAACATTTTCTTTGACCTCTTTACGTTGCAATCTAACGGACATGCTTTACACGCCACTGCTCAGCTATGAAAATCTGTTCCATCCTACGCGATTTCCTCGATATAGGAAACTCGGGGCATGGAACAAGTGATAAGCGATACACGCGCGTATCTTAATTAAATGAGACATAGCAATTTCGCGTGTGTGTGTGTACCATAAGTAAATTTCTGATTTAATACATTTACAGAGAAATGGTATGTACAAAAAATATAATATATTCATGCAATGTCCAAAGACGTACTAAATGTGAAAAGTAGATTTCATTTTCTACATTAACGTTACGAATGTCCCGTATTGTTTAAAAACTGCCTGACCTAACAAAGTATCAATGATATTGAGGTATACGATGTATCAGAGTATTAGAAAACTGTTGGCAATGATATGTTTGTATTAGCCACCAACATTGACTTAGAATTAGTCAAGGAGCGCTGATATTCGTAATTAGGAATGTAGAGCTCGCAAGGTTCATCTGGTTCTCACTCCTGTGCGATACCTCAATATGAATACACGTGTTTGTATCTAAGTAGAGCAGTCTTACGTAATCATTGTAATCCTGAAGAGTAGAGGAATCATTTCAGTTTCATTTGTCGACACATTACTTTCACTAAAACCGAGATTCCACTGTATAAATTAAATACCATAACAAATGATAAATTCGTTTTCAAACAAATTATTTCTTTAATTTTTAATCGATTCCAGGTATCTACTCGATCTTACGACTCTAGGGAAAAATAATTGGAAATGCATGCCAGATGGCGAGCGTTCGATAGCCACCCCGAATAATAGCCGCTTCGTTCGAATCACACACACAGAGGAAATCATTAAACTCTCGGCAACCGTCTATTCAATCTCCGACCAAAGACGCACTGACACAGAAGAATATACACTGCTATTCAAAAGAACGCGACTCATTAAGCATTACATCATTAAACGAAATATTCTGTCATTACGTCAATTAATGTAATCGATCATTAGACGAAACTTATTTATTTACTTATTTACACCGATTTTCCCGTACTGAACAGGTGAAGAATCGAGAAGATTCATATATAATATCCGTTCAGCCTATTCCGCTCGTTATTCGTTAGACAAAACGGTCTATCGCTCAGATCGTTTTATCCGAATCGGTTGAATTTAATCTAACCGAGAGAAATGCGTTGGACGAGATCGAAGATCGCAACGAGGCACATAGAGACAATCGCCAATCGCCGATGAGAGAAAGAACTCCGGATAAACAGGAGTAAACAGAAGCTTTTTCCAGAGTCGAAAAGCTGGAACCGTGGCGGCGAGACCGATACAGATCGGAAAGCAGAAAGATACACGGATTTACAGAGGCCACGGGTCGGTTGACAGGGGACGAAGCTTCCGCTTGGATGCGGCCGAGTTTCAATCAAGGCCAACTTTGCCATTCGTTTGCTACACCCGGCCGACCCCGCTTATCTTCGCCACTCTTTTCCTCTGTTTCTTTCCGGCCATTCTTCGTCCTCACCCTAGTTCTATTCTCATCTTTTATTCGCCACCCTTGCACCGATGCTTCACGTTTTTTTCATCGCTCTCGCTCCCCGTCTAGTTTTCGCTTTTGCTCGGATCATCCCCTATCTTCCAAAAGCTCTTTCGCATTCGTCGCCCGACCTTGTCTCGTAGGAGAGATGTTCGCGTTTACACAATTACGTAAACTCGTCGGCGTACGAATAGGTGTTCAACTTTCATTTCAGTTTCATTTTTCGTTAGGCGACCTTAAATTTTGTACGAGAAAATATGTAAGTTGCACTTCGCTTGTACTAATTTGCTGTTACGCCTGTAATTTGCTCGCTTTTAAAGGTACAAATTACTGCTCCAAAAATGAATGATAATAATGCTATTAATAATACTTTATTCATGGACAGAAGCACGTTGTAACGTACAATAAAATAGAATGTATATGAAAAATAAGGAAATAAAG